CCCGCTCCCGCGAACGATCGCGAGAACCTCCGCGACCCCTATAGGAGTCACGTCTGTTGGAATCGTCGCGGGACCGATAAGAGTCGCCGCGGGAGCCTTTACTGGCATCGTAATGGGAACCCGAATGAGGTGACTGTGACCGCCTACGACTGCCCGAGTACCGCCCGGATGTGGACTCATAGGGCGACCGAGACCTACGCCTGCTTCGCTCATCCTGGCGAGAGCTTTCGGGCTCCCAATGGTCCCTAGCCTCCCTATCTTGACGCCTTTTAAGCCAGGCCCGCTCGAAATCGTTCCTCGGCTGACCTCCAGCTTTCATTGCGTCCCGGGCTCGCTTCACAGGGAACTTGAACTTACGTCCAGGCTTTTGGCCTGGACCTTCTAAAGACTTGTTTCCCTCATGGGATCCCATGGGGGAGAGGGGGGTTCGACGTGAAGACATGTCGAAGGGGTTCAAACAAAAGTGTTTGAGGGGAAAAGAGGCAAAGTGGACTGCTCCACCCTACCGAAAAGAAAACCGGAGACCCGAAGGTCTGCAGTATAACCGCTCGTGCAAGTTTCCTTGACAAGTGGGTTCTTTAGCCTCCGTATACCCTAAGGTCTACAGAGATGCTTTTTGAATAGAAGCAACCTATGACCACTCGTGCAAGTTTCCTTGACTCGTGGGTTCTTTAGCCTCCGTATACCCTAAGGTACACAGAGATGCTTCTTCAACGGGAAGCAACCTAGTTTGATCCGCAAGATCCAATCTTCAACGCATGCATACGCAGGCCATGTAGAAATTTCGCAAGGGGATGAGGGGAGGGAAGAAAATTCACGATGCAGAGAAATGCTTCACTGACGGTTGTGGGTCTTCATCACGTGGCTGATAGGATGAGGAAGGAGCGCAAATGTATAGAACCATTCTTCCGCGAGAAACATCACGCACTATAATAAGATTTCGCCTCAAGACGCACGTAAAAGACCCTCTGTGTGAGCTTCAATCAAATACTAAAAGTCCGCATCAATTGCTGTTGTAGCACCAGACTACGATCTCACGACGTCGTTCAGTGCGTGATCAGGACGCCTTCTATGTATTTTCGGTTAGCAAGAGTCTTTATTTAGATGGAGAGTCTTGATAGACACGTTAATTTCTGTTGCTTAACTGTACGTCATAGATTAGCATTGTATTGTGGATAAATGAAGCTATTCAGAGGTCACGTGTAGGATCAAAGGGAAAGAGCGCAGGCGTTAACGTATATCAGGAAGCTAAGGGAGATCGCATATTACTATCTTTCTTGGATGAATCATTAATGCAGATGTAGTTTACTTTTGAAGATACGGACTCTGGGTGGCTTGTGTATAAGATTTAACAACCACGTGCGTAAAGACGAGAGCATCCTAAGAAGTACCCGCAATAAGTACCTAAGATATCTAGGTAGGTAGGATAATCAGGCATATTCGATCGGTGCAGGCCTTTGGAGATAGGTCAATGATGTTTCCATCTCCCTAGTGCCATCCTTATGCACGTGATCTCTGAATGGCCTCATATAATCACTGGGGCAACGCGCCTGTATCGACAACTTTGCAAGATGTTCAAACTGTTATGGACGGTTAAGCTTTCCACAATGATAAATTCAACGCTATGCAAGCCGAATCAAGCCAACTACCGATCAATATTATCTTTCTGTTCGAAACTTTTACGTCTACCTTTACCTCAGCCAAGTTCACGATGCGTAATGAGTTTGCGTATAGTCACAACTATAAGCGCACAAAAACTCCAACCTACTCTCACACTTTCGAAGAACATCATAAAATTAGTTTAACTGTAGAGCAACATGACCCTTACTACCCAAAATCCAGCCTGTTTCTCTTCCCACGAAGCCGTGCCACTGCCATTACTCTTCCACAATTTCTGTATCCTTCACAGTGCCAATCTGATTAGACCAGCAAGATTGTAACACGACGTACCTTGTACGAGACGATTTCTCAATGAATGTTTTGCTATCTCTCTGTTTTCGTACAAGTCCATCTGGTACTCCCAGAAAGATACCTCTCTGGGCCCACAAAGTAAGTCAAACCCTGTAGCAGGACGAGCTGCCAATGTTTGAGAAATGATCGGGACAGTACATTTTCACTTTAAATATGCTCGCCTCTCTCTCTCACCGGCCAATCTAATTTTCCTTCCGTGTTATTAGTCAGTGTTGTTGTTTGATCGCAAAGGTGAAAGTCTTGGCGCGTTTTGTTTAACCACCTTTACTTCTCGCGCCTCTCCTCTCTCTCTCTTCTTTTCCTCTCCACCGCACACCGCAAACACTCAGTCAACCCAGAGGTTCATTCTCTAGGTTGTTTGAGATCGTTGGCCGTGCACTTGTAGCTTTTCAAAGCTCATTCGTTTACACATCAGTGTAATCACTGAGACCGCAGAAAGCTGCAGCTAGGTCTCCTGTCCCGTAAGACAGGAAAGCTTTCGTGGACCCATCTGGGGAAGCGGAGGTTAGCGTTTGGAGGTGATCCCTTCTGCCGTCTTAATTGACCGCGGGAGTGGTTTCACGGTGGTTATCAAACCCTTCTGCCGTCTTAACTGACCGCGGAAGTGTGTTTGTCCAGCCATTCTGCCGTCTTCATGGACCGCGGAAGTGTGTTTGGAACGTCCCTGGCTTGAGTGGAGTCGTCTGCTTGGCCTCTTTTCCCTATGTCTCAACGACAAAACCCCCGGGCTCACGCCCAATCCTCGGCTTCGGCCACTCCTGGAGCTTCTGCTCCTTTAGACCCGAGAGAGGCCTCTCTCATAGATTTTGTGCAAGGGAACCCTACTCAAAGGGAACGAAGGCAGCAGCGCAGGCAGCGCAAGAGGCAGGACGATGCCACAGCAGATGCTGAGTTGGACGCTGGATCGTCTCTTTCTAGCCAAGGCGGCGACGCTACAGAAAACAAAGCTCTGAATACAAGCCCGAGCGATCAAGTCGAAGATTCGGAGATCAACAAACAACTCGAGCATTTGACTGTGGATGCCGCTGAGAACGATCAGATGGAGGACATAGTTCCAGACAGTGACGAGCGATCCACAGAGTCGAAGGAGCCCGAAAAGAGCGAAGTCCAGCAGCAAGATCCACTGGTGAACGAGGTCGGGCCTGACGATAGTGATGACAATGTCGCCAGTGTCGCCGATGGCGAGAGTATGGAAGTCGACCAGGATCCCAGCGCCTCCAACGAGTCTGAGCAGATCGCGGAAGCATCAATCGTAGGGCCGCGCCTAAAGATATTGTAGGTGACACCACCATGGGCGGTACTGTAGGTAGTGAAGAGTCTGGCAATGGCGAACAGGGTGCATCCAAGGACGTCGACATGTCCAACTCAGGGCTACCTCACGAACGATCAGAGGTAGTGTCTTTGACGCTATCTTCAACGCCATCTTCAACGCTATCGACACAATCATTAACTTCGCCATCAACAATACTTCAACATATCAAAACAACTCTTAATCTTATCATTATTTTATCATCAATGCCAGTTCATACTGTACTAGGCCAAAAGTCTCCGTAGATGCTCGAGCTACCAACCCCTGAAAACGATAATGCGCCTTGCACTTCAACGCCTCATAAGTCAAAGCAAGAGGAGGGTTGCGGATAGATAATCGATAGCCGCATTCACATCCACAATCACAACAACAAAGAGACTGTAGAGGCAAAGCAGAGGAAGCAAATCAGGCGAAGGCCCATTAACAGGCACAGAACCTTGAGTAGTTCCGCGCCATCATCCGCCGATATCTACGCAGATTCCGTTTGTTCAGCCAAGATGGCGACGTGAAGGAGCGCGCCATATTTACTATCTCTGTTAACACGATTGCACGATTTTGTCTTGATGTCTGTGACGGTTGATCACCAGGATCAATCAATCAGACGATTGAGTATCAACACCAGATGAGATGGCGATCGAGGATAGATTAGATTAAGGATATAGGCCTATGCGCTGTTGCCATCCACGATGGTCAATAATTATGGAAAGTTCAGATCCGACGATATCAGCAGCGCGGACAGAATGGGCATTTTCCTGCCGTGATTTTGATATGATTGATGGGTATGGTACAGAGATATGGCGGCCAACTTGCCCTGCAAATAAATCAATAGGTTCTTGTGATGGAAGATCGGCTAGCATTATGGCGCTGGACTTTCTTGCCATAATACATCAAGGTATATCGGTAGCTAGACAAGTATGCAATATTGCATTCTCATTCACGAAACAGTAGTTCATCACTGATCCAGCCGTTCATGTTCCCCACAGAGAAGAATTGACGCAAGAACACTAGGTTTTGACCGATGCAGGCATGCACATGCATCGTTTTCTTCTGAATGTCGAACCATAAAAACATCGAAATCGAAAACAAAATGCGTGAGACCGCTTACATACTGCCTAGTCCTCCCAATCTAAGTACCTTTAAATGGATCCTCGGAGAGCGAGAGGAAGTTAAAACAGGAAAATATACGCCATAGTCTTTCCTTTTCTGTACGGAATGGGCGGCGCACTCAACTCGAGCCTGATTTGTAAGGTTTGACGTTAAAACATAGATGCATACGAGGTAAACTTAAGGAGGGGTCCATTTATTGTCTGTCCTTACGTCTGATTGGGGGATTTTTTTCATTTTGTCTGTTGCGGTAGGCTCGGAATAAAGTTTTGGATCCGGCTTTTGGGAGGCTTATTTTATTAGTCTTGTTTGGAATTTCGAGATGGATGTGGAGGTGCTGAAATAGATACCTCGTAGCTCATTCGAAACTTGCTTTAGGAGGTTGGATAGCGATCGAAATGATGTGAAGAGTGACGATGGGTTTCTGGGCCTGAATAATTACCTAGACAATCGTTACATCGTAAGAAGAGTTGTCGTGGACGATGATTCCCAGTTCAAACAGTGACTATGCAGCCGACACTTGTTGTGACAGGATGTTGCTTGCTGCGATGAAACAATAGGATAGCGTGGACGCGTTTTCGATAGAATAGGATCGACGGGAATGCTTGCCATGCACGACTCGGAATTCCTGTTTCTTTCACACTGGGCATTTTAACTTTTGGGGGAAAGACTCGTTCTAAGATGATTTTAGTTGCATCAGCAAAAGTTCACGAGTCGTGTAATGGGGCTTCGGTATATCATCCGGAGCAACGGTGTAGTGGCTAATCCCGCGCTAACGTCTCGCTATTCCCAACTCTTCCAGACATCACCTCCCGATCGAGTTACGTAGAAGCAGAGCAGACAAGTCAATGGGATGAGAGGGGAGATCCCTTTGGACCCGACATGGGGCCGATCGTGGGTTGATCGCTGCACGAATCTGCAGCTAAGTGGATGTACGCCCAGGCCTGCACTTCCTTATCGTGTAAATTTGAAGTGTTCATACGCCGATTTCTTACGCCACTCGTCCGTCAAGTGCTGACAGGGCGTGCGGGTAGGTCAAGGAAGCAAAAGAGATGTTGACGATTAGTCTAGGGTTGCGTGGCTTTCTGTTTATGGTCTGAGAATTCTGTTCCCTATATTCATGGGTGGCTTGCGCCACGGCTATTTTCATACACTTGAGTGTCACCCGAGAGTACCTGCATTAAGTACCGCCATTTCTCTGTATCTATTGCGTAGAAGACCTTCGGTGAACTTAGAAATGATGGTACGGCAACTAGTAGCCGTTCATTAGCATTCGGCACATCTTGAAAGATGCATAACAGTATTCTAGATCGGCCGAATCTCCGCAAGCTTAGGCCTCCAGTGCTTAAAGACGTAGCTCGAGGGTAGATCGAGTATGTCTGAGAGTTTACGTCGGGACTAATAGCGGAGAAGCTTTATTGGGCGATAATTCAAGTGTGTGTGGACGGAGCTGAATCTGAGGCCCACCATCTAACATCAAACAGCACACCGCGTGCTCCCCCCTAAAGGGCACTTGTCCCCAATCCAGCGTTCAAGTCTTAGTGTTCTCTTTGATTTCCTAATTCTGGTTTCGTCCTCCTTCGATTGTATAGATTTACATGTGCTTTGCTCTCATGTCTTCGCCATCTTCAGCGCGACGGACAACTTCTAATCCTCAGTAGGATGCGGGCAATTCCTCTCGATGTCTTGCTATCCTTTCCGCAGCCGAATTATGTGAATCCTGACACCCGCGGCCCTGCGTTGGCTATCGTGAACTACATATTCCTCGTGCTGGTCATCGTCGTGGTTGCTCTAAGGATTTACACGCGCTTAATAGTCAAGAGATGGTTTGGAACGGATGATGTCTTCATGGCACTGGCACTGGTACGTATGAGGTCGAGCAGCACAAAGACAATCCCTTTCTGATTACTAACTTGCATATGTACTCGAATCGATAGATCTTCGCTATCGGACTCAAGACAGTGGTGCTTCTCGCAAACCAGAGATACGGCTGGGACCGCCATGTCTACGACATCCCTCTCGACTGGATCGCGTCCACAGCGAAGATCGCCATGGCTGCTAAGATTCTCTTCACTTGCGCTGCCAGCTTCACGCGCCTATCTCTGCTCTTCTTCTACTACAGGCTGGTGAAGGATACAGATAAGAAATGGTTCCATTGGTCTATTCATGCCAACGTCGCTTTTACGATCGGCATCTTTATATCATTCATATGTCTTGCAATCTTTCAGTGCAAGCCGATTTCAAATTATTGGTGTACGTACAACTGTCTGATTGAGACACGTTTATGTCGTATTGGCGCCATTTGGTCTCACTCCTGAGGTCCGAATGCCTATCGCATATTGCGGTTGATTCTTACTCCATTGCGCTCGGATGCCTTGCTAATTTGTCACTACAATACAGTATTCCTAGCTCCTCCAAACACATGCATGGACGAAGGCGTTGTCACTCTCATCGCCGGAATCCTAAATTGCATCGCAGATCTCTTCTGCACAATCCTACCAATCCCTCTAGTCGCTCGGGTAAGCATCATCGCCTTTGATCTACTCCCAACAAGATGCTAATCCTAACCAGCTCGAGATGCCGCAGCGCCAGCGAATCGCCGTCGTGATACTCTTCAGTTTCGGCTTCATAGTCACAATCGCAGGCATCGTACGCACATGGTACATCTACAAGAGTCTGATCGAGGAATACGACATTACGTGGTATTCGTACCCGCTATGGATCGCTGCTGCTGTGGAGATTGACCTGGGAGTGGTAAGTCGACCTGAAAGATCTTGCGTATAGCAATCCGCAGGGCTTTTATATCTCTTCTCTTCCAGTCATGTTGGAAACGGTAACGTAAGTCAAATGGAGGCTAACTGTGCAATGTTAATTTAGATTTGTGCTTCAGCTCCCGTCCTCCGACCACTCCTCTCAAAACTCCCATTCACAGTCTCGTCGATTGCGTCAAGGATATCCGCGCACAAGGCGAGTTCGAAGGGCTACACGGCCAACACATCAGCGGACGGAGACGACTCAAATGGCACCACGCCAGCGGGCAGCCAGAACAAATCGGCCCTTGATTCGAAGCGACGATCTGGACGTATGGCAATGTTTGGTGGGAAGTTACGCGAGGAGCATGAACTGCAAGATTTGAATGACGTCGAACGGGGAAAGCCGAGGGGAAAGCCGAGTACGGAGAGCCAGGATGCTATCCTCGATAATGTGAGGAGGCAGAATTTGAGGTGGCAGACGAAGCATCCGCTTACTGCTGTTGAAAACAGTAATGAATTGTCAGGAGCGGGGGGTTCTGCGCTGCATGGTATTATGGGTGGAGAGAGGAGTTTCCAGACCGTTGGTGCTGTGCATCAGGCTCGATGATGATAGTGTTGTGGTTGCAAGCTTACAGAGAGCGCAAGTATGTCATCGACATGCATCATGCACTAACAAATAGATTTGAGATCATATCCAAAAAGAGCTGGACGGCGTTTGGGAAAAGGAAACGGGACCATTTGCTTGCAAGACATTCTTCGATATCTAGATCAATCCCGATTTGTCGCTTTGGGCGAACAAACACGAGGGACTGAACCACACACTCAAGCGTCGAAGAGATATGTACAGTATGTATATATGTACACTACAACAACACGATAACTATTAGTTAAATGCAACACACTGCACCATCCAATCCAACACCTCGCTCTTCCACCCGTTCGCCCAATACAACCGCAACGGAACGTTCCTCCTGCGGCCTCCTCTGCGGCCCTTATCACCAACACGTCCATCACAGACAGAATTACCGCATAATCACATCTCTCTCCCCTCTTTCCTCACAATTCCCCCTTGTTCGTGATCGAACGACAGGAGGGGAGATTTCGCTCCATTGCATGCATGCTGCATTAAGGCGTAGCGCGCGCTCTAAACTGCACGCGCGGCACAGCACGGCAGATCACATCACATCGACAGGGGGGCGAATGAAGACATCTAACTGGACACAAGACGATGCAACACTTTTTTCTCCGCTTCAAACTTCGAACACACGCCAATGGAAATGTTTCCGCCTCCAGCTTGAACCGTTCGGGGGAGAGGGAAGGAACACGAAACGGAATCGAGGACCAGAGAAACGTACCATATGAGAAACGAAACATTTTCCCTCCAAACACTCCTGTCGCACAAAGGACGAGATAACGTATCAAGAGTTCGATCCAGCGCCTCCATGCAGTGCGTAAGGAGCAAACATCCTCGCTAACAGAGACAATCCGCAAGATGAAGTAAACGTCCCGCAGAACGAACGGTGAGCATGCTTACACCAAGCAGGTAATTAATTAAGTCATTTGCGTTTCATCCCTCGATTGTCGATCATGATATCGACTCGAATGAAGAGCTTGCCTACTGTTTTGGAAAACCAGTGGATACGATACTGTAAGCATGGGGGGCGGAATTCCATGGCAGTCAGACTTGACCGTTTAGAGAGGAGACGACTCAGACGAATGCGTAATAAGGAAATGCTTGACTTTGAATACGACACCTCCGTATGTTAGTTCTATGTAATTTTACTAATTAAGAAAGTACATATAACATTGAATATTGTAAAACACCATCTGCAGATTACCTGTGCAAGGAGACAGTCCCTAATGGTAAATACCTTTTAATCGATGCCTCTTCTAGAGTACATTAACTGTTTGAAATGGGGTGCAAACTGTTTGCCAAAGGAGATTCGCATTAGTAGTTTCTTGCAGCAGCTCACCAAATAAATACTAGATTGATTTCATGACTATAAAAAATTGGTATTGTGGTCACCAAGTCTGAACATGAATTAAGCTCACCACCTGTCCTTGCTCCAAGCCAAATGCATGTGCACCAATCTTTGCTCTCACAACTTCTGCGTATCGCTATTCCGGCTTGTCACAACCCGCACTGGAAGCACAAGCATTCTGCGTTCCAAGCCGACAGAAGCACGATGATTCAATCGAGATATCGGCCTCCGCCTTCGCCAGCGTAAGTTGTTTCTGAATGAGCCGAGCCTCTCCATGCCGCCCAAGTTGAACCAAACACTCATGATACCCATGCAAAGCCCAAATGTTCTTCGGATGCTGATGTGCGCGAGTGAGCGTCTCGTCCACCCCCAAATCTTCAGCGTAGGCCTGCGCTGCCTGCTCAACCAATCCTTGCTCAAGCGATAATGCGCCGTATGGGTGTCTCGCGGGGAGCATCCATCCCCAGGGTTCGGTGTACATGAGCGCGTCCTCGTGTTTGATGGCCTCGCGGAGATGTTCGAAGGCAGAGACATAGTTTTGGCGGCGATACTCGATCTCGCCGTCCAGCATCGCGGTTGCAACTTTCAAGACGTCTACGATCCGGTTGGGGAAGTCGAGACGGCTTTCTGGTACCCGTGTTGCGGCTTTTCGGAAAAGCTCTCGTTCCGTGTCTGCGTTGGTAAGATCGTTCGTGGCTGCGTAGGCAACTCCCTTTCCGTAATGTGTCATTACTGTGGTAACGCAGTAGAGTTCCTTATCCTCTGGGATCTTTAGATTTTTCAGATCTGTCCACATACCAAATCGAATGAGGACGTGAACTCGAACTGCAAGGAAGAATTCCAGCCAATCGGCCATTGGTGGTGACTTCAGACGTAGCATCTCTTCTGTAATGGTTGCTTCCATACGTTCTACAGATTCGAGAGCCACTTTGGACTGGCCCGCCAGCATAGCAGCATATATAAGCGAATGATAATCATGCAGGCGATAGAAACTATAGAAGTTCACGCCGCCTTCTTTAGCAAAGTACTTGTCGTCCGCAACTGTCGCTTTCTGGTTGTATCGCATGGAACGTCTGTACTCCCCAACAAGCACATCTATGTGGGTTGGCATATGCGCCATATGGCCTGCGTCTGGAACGAGGTCTCGGATGATATCTGCAGCAAAGAGGGCAACCTCTGGTATGTTAGACCGTTCCATTAGGTGGATGTACAGATGTGGAAGGCCTGGGTGCTTCTTTGCGTCCTCCTGTTTCAGTCCTGCCTCGATCACCTCTCTGACTTCGAATACGGGTGATGACAAGATGGGTTCGCCAGTCTTCGTTTCAAACATCTGCCGCGGCTTCCAATTCATCAGGGCGTCAGCGAAAAGTGTCCTAACATCAAGATCATTCATTCCGAACTCTTGATAGACCTCTCTCATAGCATCGGCGTAATCCTTGTTTGGCCCCGAGTAGTCAGAGAGTATCGCTTCTCCTGGATAGCGTTTTTGAAGGGCTTTGATAAGAGCCGTTTCGACAGGTGAAGCTCTGGCAGCTTTCTCGAGAGCAGACATTGCTGCTCTGTAGCATCGACGCACCGTTAGAGCCAAATCTTCTTCGTCAAACGATGCCCATGCCTTGTTGTAATTTGGACCAGCGGCAAAAGCTAGGCCCCAGAACCCCATTGCACACTCTGGGTCGTGGGCGATAACAAGCTCGAAACAACCGCATGCTTCTTCGTGATTGAATGCATATGTCCAGGTCAGACCACGATTGAACCAAATTTGAGCTTCCGGGTTGCCTGTGCTGATTTTTCTTCCGAAGTTTCCAACATCGTAGTATGGATCACTTGAAGGTCGCAGAGAGGGAGCCTTTTTAAGAGTATGAGACATGTTTTCGGATTTGAATCGCTAGCAAAGGAGCTGTGACTGGTGTTGCAAACACCGAGGATATCACTTAATTTTATAGACGGAGGGGTTTACATAATATTTTCAACTATTTATGAGTACCACGGAAAGTCTTAATTCGCCGTAGTGCTTTTAGCTAGTAGTGCGATCGTAGCTCGTTGGTTTTTTCGGTGTTGCGTTATTACTGTAGAAGAAGAGTATGTGGGACTGACGGCAGTCCTTGTCCAAATGGGTGATTCTTGGGGGGATTTCGGAGGGTAATTGATTGGTGGCCACCAGCCTTACAAATTCCATGTCGTCCCTTCTGAACAATGTGACCTTTAACTCGATTATTTTTTATTCATACTAACGTATGCTAGACAGGAAACATATTATCGGTGTTAGGTAAACCTACATATTGGATATAAAATAGTACAGGCCTGTCAGTTTCTATCAATGTACGGTGAAATATTTCCTACAGCCATAATCGGTGTGGTGTGAGTGCTCTGCGGCGTAGGTACTGCTTATTCTCTTTTAGCCAAAAGCCGTTCCGATCGGTGGGTGAGGCGTAGGACATAATATATATTGCACCGTGGTTATTTTCGTACCCATCTACTGTGTAAGAGAGCAGGTAGGAAGTGGACACGGTATAGGTGGCTGGGTTGGTCGTACTGTTACTAAAAGTGTCGAAATATACGACGGAGTATCAAGTATTGACAGGGCGCAATGATCTTCTTTGTCCGTCCCATATACATATCACCCCCAAGAGAGGCCAGCGAATATGGAGAGGAAGCGAAAGAGCACAAATAGGCGCAGCTTAGGCATATCTGCTTTGAGACGTCAGGGCGGCGAGGGACCTTTTGTACATGTCGCAAGAACTATGGCGACACACATCGAATGAGGCACTGTAGAGGCACGAGACGAGAATAGAAGAGCAGAGACCCGCCTCGAAACCGCAGTCTTTTGTCTGATCGATCACAGAATTGTAAATAGCAGTCGAAGCCTCATCGACATGAATACATCATCTTCAATGCGATCGCATTCCGAAACGCAAAAACCACCTGTTTAGACCCCCAAAGACCAAAAAAGGAAAAGGCTGTGAGAGGATGGTAGATCATGACTGTCACAAACATGACCACTGGAGGTTGTCCTCTATCGGCCCCCCATTCGGCGGAGCGCATGTAAACATGTACCACAGAACGAACGCATGTATATAGAGTGAACTGATCCAGCCAGGACTCTTTCATTATCAAAGCACAATGCCTGGCCTAGGACTGTCAAAGGGGCCAAGCGGAGAGAATACAGGAAGCAATAATACAAACTTGCATATTCCGTACAAACGAAAGAAGAAGTAAACGTATATACAAACATAGAAGAGTCAGGGTGCGGCGTTCATCTGGGGTGGATGACGAGGCTGTTCAGAGTCCGTGAGCACGAGCAAGGCAGTGCAAATCAAAAGCGAAGACTCGTCCATTTTGGAAACAAGCGAGGTTGCCCACCTCGTCTCCCCTCCCCTCCCCGTACCAAAGACATTGTCTAGGGTGTTCGTTCGTTCGTTTCCTTCTTCTTGTCCTGTAATGTGCTATCGACGAGAATACCCTGTCTTGTCCTTCCCGTCTCTGCTTGATGTCAACGACATTGAACGCCATCACAGACAATCATGACCAACGAATACGAACCAACGAGCAGCAGCGTCTGACGGATGGCTGGCACAGGCGGGACAACAGGCAAGGCTTTCCCCCCTGCATGAAAGATGACGGACACAACCGTCCACTTAACCCTGTGCGGCGCAACGCAGGCGGGTAAGCACATCATGACAGTCCCCCAAACTGCCTGACTGGACTTGTGATGCGATGTTGGGACCGGGGGGACAAGGGTCGTGGCGCTTCGCCTCTCGCTCAGGATCCCAGGCTGTCGTGAGGCAGATAGATAGACTGCACTCGAGCTGTATACGGCTCCCCAGTCTTCTCGCGGATTTCACGGTTGGGCGCCGCGTGCACAGCGAGCCTGAGCGAGGCTGTGGGTGAGAAACATTCAAGTGGCCCTGTATGCGGCCGTGGTCCGTCAGCACACTTTTTGCGTGCGCATGTACAAGTATACGGCGTCTCGCACTTTTCGTCCCGTCGCAAAGGAAAGTTGGATTCTTGTCAGACGAGTTCGCTCCCACTGGAATCGATCGGACTTGGTAGTGTTGTTGCATTGTGCAACGAGTCGACGATATAATACAACACCACCTCAACCACCACCAGGTTGTCTATCCCACTCGATTACAACCACATACACCCATCCACCCACCCACACAACCAAACAAAACCAAAATCACCCAAAACTCTGAAGGAGAAACCCCCAAACACCCACAAAAATGGCACCAACACTCTCAATATCCCAATCCACACTCGACAACCTCCCCCTCGCCAAACTCCAAAAACGCTGGACCCTCCTCCACCAGCACTCACACACCAAACGCGCCGACCAATGCAGCGACTACGACTTCTCCTGCACACGGCACCGGGGCCTCATCATCGGCGTCGTCTGCGCCGTCATGGGCCTCCTCTTCATCTTCGCGATCCTCTTTTGGCGCCGTCATTCCAAGGCCACACGCCGAATCCGCGACGCCGAGCACCAGCGCCGCTGGCCCTACGAGTACCAGCAGCAGTTTCAGCAGCAGCAGTATCAGCAGTACCAGGGGTGGCAGATGCGGGCGTCGATGCGGGCGCAGCAGCGGAAGGAGGAGGAGGGCGTTGCTGTTGTTGATGCTGGGACGGTCGGGTTGGCGGTTAGTACGCCCAGTGTTGGTCAGGGCCATGTGGGCGCGGCTGGCTTTGGAGGTATGAGTCCTGTGTCGCCACTTGAGGGGGACGATGGCGCCGTGTATGGGGATAGGAGACGCGGTGTGAGTGGTGTCCCGGCGGATCTGCCACCACCGTATGAAGCGACGATGCCGCAGGTTCCTGGGGAGGCTAGGACGAAGTGAAGGGTTTGGGAACGGGAACAGGAACGGGAACAGGAACGGGAACAGGAACTATGAATGAAGATACGATGGCGGTGTCGTGGAGACATCGTCAGGCACCGGGCGATATCAGTCCGACGGTTTGACGCTCAAGGGGTGTCGAAACATATATATGTACACTGAGCGATTACAACGTCGACTCCACGTCTCTCCGATCATAAATGAAGGAAAGGCTTCACGCGCACACAGGCGCAGGTGTTCACACATCATCCACCACCGAGCATCTCCACACATCATCCGGAAGAAGAAACGCCGTTCACCATCGTGGACAAGCAGAGAAGGACAGACAGACAGACAGACACACGAACGGAGTCGTGAAGTTTCCATTCGAAACCACTGTTTGTATTATATAGACGATACCCGAGATTTTCCATTAGCAACGCTAGCTTTTCAATATCTCATCTCCTTTTCCCTTTCACCCTCATCTCCATCTCAGTCCAGAACCCCAACCCACAGAACCGTGACCATTCACCTCCCCTAAACCTCATCCCCAACCTCAACCTCAACCTCAACCAACTCAACGCCCACGCCCACGGCCTCGTTCCCCAAATCAAGCATATTAGCAGCACTCGGCGTTTGCCACCAAACCGCCCAACCGCCCCTCGGACCGTCTCCCTCATGCCCCCTCACCATCCACTCCGCCCCGTAGCGACTCGCGACCCACCCGCCTCCCAACGTCTCGTCCCTGTACCGCAGGTACCGCCTCTTCGATCCGCCGACGACGTACGAGGGGAGGGTCACGACGATCCAGTCGTCGAAGAGGATGGTGGAGCCAATGCCGAATGGGAGCGTGGTGGTGGATTGACGGAGCTGGTGCTCGCCCTTTCCGCTGGGTCCTTGGAGGATCAGTGTTTCGGTTTGGATTGCGGGTGCAGATGAGGTGGTGGTGTTGGAGGGGGGTGTTGGAGGGGGATAGGGGTCAGAGGATGGGGGCGTGAGGCAGTGGATTAGCCGCGGGGAGGGGGAGAAGAATTCGAGGGTGCAGGTTGCGTAGAAGGGGGTTGTGGTGGTGGTGTTGGATGTGGTGGTGTTTGATGGGGAGGGGGGTGGGATCACGATGAGGTGGCCCGCGGGAGTGAGTTGGAGTTTTTGAGCGTTGACGATGGGGTTGCCGCTGGGAGGAGGGCTGTTAGCTAGGTTGATAGGTAGGTAGGGCGTTTGGGATTTGTGTGTTGTTTGTGTGTTTGTGGGGAGAGGTTACCCGATGATTTGGAGATTGTACCACCCGTTTCCACTGCCTTTGCCTCGTGATGCTGCCAGTGCGTTGGCGAAGAGGGTTGGGATGGGGAGGATGAGGAGGATGAGCCGCATCGTGTCTGTGTTCTTTCCCTGGTTTCTGGCTTTTTCTTGAAGACACCGGTGTAGTGAGTGTGTTGTAGAGTATATCAGACGAGAGCAATGATAGCAAGAAAACGAATGATAGAAAAGACGGTATGAGAAGTCGAATATAAAAGAATAGTGGCCCTTCTTATGATAACATCAGCATACTATGTCGACAAAAGGAGCTGAACCGAGATGGCGTCACCAATGTTCCGTGGAATGCAGGCGGTACTACGGGAGAAAGGGAGGGAACGGGTCGTCATGAGGAAGGAATCATAGATTCAAGTCACTTCGGCCAGGGAGTCCTACCATGGGGTTACGCAGTCCAGGGAGCGTGGACACATGGAGGTTGGAATAAGGGAGGCGGTGGGAGCTTGTTGATATGACGTTGTTATAACGAAACTTTGGCTTCCCATTGATCACTTGGGGGTGCAGTTGAAGTAGTGCCATCGAGAGACATTTGAATGTCTAGAACAATTACAACTCTATTCACCCTGTAGTACAATAATCTTGCCGAAGCAGACATAGTAATAACATATCATGAATACGTCTATGCCGAAGCAATATAAGCCCCCCAGCGAAAACTCCTCAACTCCATTCCCGCAAATAAAATACTCGACGTGAAAAAGGGACATAACAATCAAATGTCCAAGTCAACAATGGCTCTTTATATCAGATCGACGACTACGTTCATCGTTCCATCCGCCCAGACAGCACGCGCGACGTGATCTTTCGCCCTGTCCCAAGTCTCTGCGTCTTTGATTTCCGTGAGGCCGGTCGTTAGCATTACTTTGATCGTGTATTTGGGCAACGAGCTCGGGAGTTGGCTGTCCTGTTGATGTGTTGGTAACGTCGGTGGAGGAGCGGGAGTTGTAGAGTATGGCTGGGATCGCGGTTCCAGTGGCTGCATTGAGTCTCGAGATGGTGAGTCGTGGCGCAGAGCATCGTCCGCAGTCGTTTGTGGGGTAACGGCACTGGTGTGGCCTTCAAGCAATGCGCGCGTTGAATCGGTTGGACTCAGGATGCCGGGTTCTGTGATGTGATCTTCAATCGCGGCGATGGCTGAACGATTATTTGCGTGCGAAGAGACGTTACCAGTGGAAGTCGCGGTGTCGCTTCTAGGTCCCATCTCCGAGACCAATTGGTCGAAGTCTGTAATCAATTGGTAGGATAACCCCGGACCATCAGTTGTCAGGGGCGAAGTAGGCTGGCTTTTTGAAGGGGAGAGGCCTTTTGGGGAGTGTGATTGTTTCTGGAACTCGGTGGCCGCCACGGCGAGGCCACGCAAAGTCTCTGGGCCCATGCCATCATCGGTAGATGCTAGCACACTGGAGCGCAGGGCTGGATACGTCTTCATGGCCTCCCGCAGCAAGATCCTCAAATCGGTCTGTAAGTCCTCCCAGTGATAGTCTGTTGGCGCTCTTTCCGGAAGTTCGATTTGCTTGTAACCTTTAAGCTTTGCACCATTTTTGACCATTTGAATTGTAATCTTCCGTAGATCTGCAACCTGACTGCCAGCTGTTGGAAGCATTTCGTCCTGCAGTTGTTCTGTCTCAACAGAATCAAGAGTTGGACCAGGTTGCGGGGGCGTTTGGGAAGTTGGTGCAACTCGATCTTGCACGGGAGGGGAGACATGCGGTTGTGCTTCCAACCGAGTTGGAGACGCACGCTCTGCTTGTTGAGGAAGGACAATGTCCTGGGGCGTTGGCAGGTGCGGTCTTGTCACAGTCAGTCATTGCGCCCGATACTTTGATAACCGAAACATACCTATTATAAGCAACAGATACCACTGGCTGTGCATTGCCAGACAGTGCTTCCGCTTGGTTCTGCGGAGGCTCTTCCGCGCCGTTTTCCCTCTTCTTACTTCCCCCCTTCCTCGTCTCAATCGCGTACATCCTCTGCCGCTCATTCGTAACCATACGTCGCAGCAGAGGCGTAACAAGACTGATAATCTTTGTAGCGTCCTTCGGCCACACCAATTTCTCCTCCGGCACTTTATCCTCCCCAAGAACTCTAGCAGCCTCCAGAGTCTCCATCTCCGCAAGCTTCTCCACATGCTCGCCGAAGAACTGCTCACCCGCACCTTCCTTAAGGAAATCCCTCACGCAGTTAAACAGCCGCAGCTTCACCATGTCGGTATCGCCCTTGCCCCTATTGCCCACACAGTTCTGCCGCTCCGGATGCGACGTATCGAGCATGTACGTCTTCGCCTTCGCCTGCAGATGCAGGAAGTTCTCCGGCGTCAATTGCAGCGAGATGAACAGCTTTGACATAGGCGGCCGCGTGTACTTCCTCGATGTCCGCTCCGAGGCGCGTCTGAACAGTGCCGCGGCGGGGTTCACGTTGGCGGGCTGCGGTTCATTGATCACTGCATTATTGGCTTGAGATGTCCTCGGCTGTCCGAGCGAGTCTTGCTCGGGGTTTGTAGAGTCTAATTGAGGGTCTGTAGGCATGTTCAGTCGGGGGCGCTTCGCAACAGACTGTCCATTCACATTTTGGCCAGCATGACCGCGCTCTTGCCCCGCATCGCCGTCATCGTCCGAGGGGCTCGCGCCGCGCTTCCTCTTGCCTCTGTTCTGTGTGGGCGGTCTCGTCGTCGTGTAACTCGTATCAATGTTCATTGCGTCCGCAGATTGGTCCGCCGCAGTGGTCGCAGCTTCAAGAAGTTCGACAAGATTATGGCTCTCTTCTAAGGTATTGTCCTGCGCATCTGCAGCCTGGGAATCGACGTAGAGAGCGGTATTATGAGGGGCCAGCGAAGTGGCAAGGTCATAGTCGTCATCGTCGGTCGAGAATGGCGCGTTTGTCGCGTTGGTGAACTGGCCGCGCAGCTGATAGTACGGAGCGTTTGTCGCCATGTCTCAATGCTCGGGAAGGGTGTCAAACAGTGCGCAGTGGTCAATCAGGCGTCGGGCGCGACAGCTGCTGCCATATCACGACGAAGTGTAAGTAAGCGGACATCAAACAATTCGATATCAAATTAACGGCTGCGAGGAATGGTCAAGGGAACACGTCGGGAAAAGGGAAAACAATGTCGCAACAGACAGTCGCTGAATGCTTCCAGTGCATCTGACCTGCTCGTGGGTGCGACATCTTGGGCATTGGAGGCGAGTCTGCAAATGCGCACCTGAAAGGTCGCTGAGTGCTCTTTCAATTGCTTGGTGAAGACAAGCATAGCCGTCAGCGCGCGATGCGATGGGATGTGATTGTCGTTGAGGTTTGTGTTGTTTGCATTCCAGACCGCGTGCTGATTGGTGTCTAGGATGTTTGCGGTTTGAGATTAGATAAGCGAACGAAAGCTTGGGTGACGGGATGGAAGTGGATACATTTATTGAGGCGACCACCTGTCAGCTGTATTGGATACCTTAAAGCTTATGAAGAAAACAACTCGGAGATTTAATTGACTATCTTGACATCACATCTGACATGGCGATAAATGAATATGATGGTTGGCATCGTGACATGCATGAAGTGGTATTGCTCGCTTTTTGAACGAGGCATGAAGATATACATATATATATATATATATATTGCCGGGAAATCCCCAGCCAAAAAAGGTGCCACCTGAGGAAAATCTGTCCCAAGATATCGTCCGCCACCAACGCCGACAAATGCTGAAAAGAGTCATGCACAAGATAGAAGAAGACCCAAAACTAGTATCCGTCTCCTTCGTGCCATTCTCGACCGGCTTCTTTCGCTCGGTTCTTGGGGTCTTTGCCGCGTTCGTAGGCCTCGTCCTTGAGTTTGTTGACGATTGGCCTCAGGCGCTCGATCTCCTTCTTGAGCGTCTGGTCCTTGCCGGGCTCGGGCTTCTCGAGCTGCGCGGCTTCGTCGAATCTCCCTTCATCTTGCGCTTCCTTGATGGCCTTGCCCTTCTCCTCCCAGTCCCTGAGTTCGGCCTCCCTGCCGCCGAGCTCGTTCTTGCGGTCTATGAAGACCTTGAACTCATCCTCGCCACCGAAACAGCTACCATACTGATCGCAGAAGCACATGTGCTCCTTGGGGCAGACGATATTTTGGCCTGTGAACACGAATTGCCAGACATATTCCCAGATGCGCCCAGAAAGGAAATCGGGCAATGGGGTGTTGAATAGCCAATTGCGATACCAAACATACTGGGAGTGGGGCATGGCCTGGATTCGTTCTCGGGAAAGAGCGAATTGGGCACAGCAGGGCTGCGCGAGCACTTTGGGTATCTCGTCGAGAGGGAAGAGCTCGCTCCACGACTTTGCGAGCAGGGTCTCCTCCTGCTTGTAGACGTTCTCTTTGGTCTCGCCGGGATGCATCCAGTCGGGGCAACCAGGGTGCCAACTGCAGCGCATGTTCACGAAACCCTCGCGCCACACCCTCGGGCGGCTCAACCTGGTAATCATTTGCGCCGCATTGTTGCCCAAGATATCATCGTTGTGCCATGTGAACTGATGTGCGTGCATGAAGATCGACACGTCCGGGAGGTCATCGTAGTGATCGATGATGTACGACAGATATACCATGACCTCGTGGCCCTTGTTCTTCGGGGGGTGCAGCGGTGCAGTCGGGTCGTCGGCGACGTAGATGGCCTTCGGTTGGTCTGGGATCTCATTCTCCATCCATGATATATCCTCATCTTTCGTCTTGGCAATGACAAGAACGGAAGTGAAGTTGTCTCCTGCGGGCCTAGCGCTACCCTTGGTGAATTTTGGCTTTGGGTTCCAGTTCACATAGTCTGGATCCTTGAGATTGGGAGTTGTGGAGTTGTCGTCTGCTTGACCTTCCCCAAAATGATCACCCAGTCCAACATGCTGCGGCAGGCCGTGCCATGTATCGCGGACAGACGTGCTGTAATAAAGAAAGACGAAAAAGAGGGTGACGGTAAGGGCGAGGAAGGGTAATAGTTTTCGTTTCGACATGGTCGGCGTGTGCGGTGGTGAGAGGAGTGGATATTTGAAAGGTAGAGACAAATCAGTTCATGAGTATGTAGGCGAGCTGCGACTCCAATGGGTGAATAAATTGGTCGAAAAAGGGGTAGCAGAATCCCCTGGAAGCTGCAATAGGTTTCCTGGTAGACAGTTTGGATGGTGTATGGATAGAACTCAGAAAGGAATGAGAAGGGAGAGGAATGAGAGGCAGCAGCAATGACGGTGGTGTCGATGGGTGGGGGGGGGGGCGAGGGTTCGAGGTATAAAGCAAGGCGAAGTCGCAAACACGATGGCGAAGATGAAGAGACCAGATAACGGTAGGTAGATGATGGTGATACAGCTGTTACAGAAAGGACGCCAAGTTGCAGTTGCGCAGAGAGTAGAGAAGAGGAGAGAGTCGAGTAGGAGAAAAAGGTGATGTTGAGGCTGGCTTGTGTGTGGTGTGCCTCCCCCTTCTGCGGAGGTGGACGGGTTACGCCGCCATGGAAGGAGTACGAGTACCTATTACGGTATTACCCCTAGTAAGTAGTAACTAATTTACTTACTAGGCTAGTACGTAGTAGGAAATAAAAAGATTGGGGGTGAGTAGTGAGTAGAGTGACTGTGAAGAGGAGTGAAAGGATTTGAGCCTACAGGATTGGGAAAGGAGAAAGGGACAGGGACAGGGATGCCATCGATGCGACGACATCATTGGTCGATCACAAACGCCCTTTGGGGCTTAGGGGGCCTTGCCCGTGTTCAGGTCTGCCTTTCACTCCTACTCGTAACCCTCCGGTAAGCTTGTTACTACGCTTGTATTCCTTCTCTTCCTTTGTATATTCGTACCTGATACCTACCGTTTCCACTGACCACGCACTGCCAGGCGAAGTACCAACTACATCAACACTGCCCATACATTGCCTTGTTTTAAGAATGGTAATGCCACTCCCACTCGCAGATTAGTACCGAATGCAGATCGTTGTTCTACGCCCTGGTTTCTAATCTTGCCTCGTTATCACCGAATTTGCACACAAAGGTGTTCAGTTCGAGACGCCGAAAGCCCAGGCGACAGGCAGCAGACGACAGCTTTGCTACTTCTGATCCCTCGCAATCCAGGCGACGTTGTTCATGCTGTGTGATGCTATGTTGCGGCGACGTGAGGCGATGCGAGGCACCTTCGGGGGCCCATTGCCATGGGATGTGCTGCTATGCTACGATTGAGAGAAAAGAAGGAAAAGAAGGAAAAGAAGGTGAAGATGTAGTTGAAGAACAAAAACTATAATTATCTCCATCCCCCCCACATTGTTATTCGTATCTGCCTCTCCATCTCGTATCATAGAGACCTAACTATGTATAACTAACTACTCCGTACCTACCTAGGTGAATATGGGAAGCGGTATACCAGTGTTTGTACGATTGCGTACATCTCAGAACGACGCGTACAATGACGACAGGCACCGCGCGTCAGCCAGGCAGCCTTACCTCCTCAAGTTAATTACTCGTTCCATCAAGGCGTTCTAGATCAACAGTGACAGTGATCAATAAATAAATATACTGTAACTGTGTACTGTACATACCTACTTAGCAACCTACCTAGGTACGGAGTACTTCATGGGAAAAAAAATGCCTGACAGGTTGCATTCAACAGCCTACCTACCCATTTCGCACCCGGACAACGAGTTGTTACTTTTTAGGACCCCACGTCCCTCTCTTTTCTTCTTCATGCACACTGAGACATTTACTCCAACGGGTAGGTGCAAAGCCACAGGATCTTCGCAGGAACAACTAAATCAGATGCCAATTTTCACTTCATCTACGGAGTACATCTACTTATGTATTGTGTTTACTTGTCTATCAGGTCCTAATCCTACGGCTCATCAAGCACTGCTTCGGTATGATTATGGACAGCGTCGCCTCTGACTGAGATTGCAAGACTTGCCTACAGCTTTTTTTTCTGTCCTCTTCGAACACGTGTGGTGGTCGTCATGCAATACCAACTACGCGCAACACAGGCATGCTGCTGAGGTGGTTCTAGTCGATGCCATAGTATTTTTATAGGTCTCGCAGTTCTCTTGTGCCCAGTAAGTGGCTGATCAAGATCAAAGATACTACAACGTAGAGCCGACTTCAATGATGTAACATTTGGATCAATGGTCGGGGCGCGATCAAATCTATGGTCAGCTACGACAGCCACTCTCGCTTTCACTATGGCAAAGTGAAAGCAAAGAGCAAACACTGGACTGTGACATGGCGCAAAGCCAAGCCAGAGAAACAAAGAGAAATGAAATTGGACAGAGCACGCACCTCACAGTTTGCATCCACCATGCACGTCCCCGCAGTGTCGGTCGCCAGGAGACTGACTCTTGTTCGTTTGTCACTACGGAGAATGCATGGCGCAGAATATGCATGTCAACAGGAAATCTATCGTCATTCGAGGATCATTCGAGGCTACGCAGCAGCAGGAATTGTATTTGCGACTATCCATCAACGATAGTCCGTCGCTGATGAATCAATTCATTCTCTATTGTTTGCATTCGCATGGACGGCGACAATGACCAAGCACACAGGCAGAGTATGCTCGTTTCAAAGGAACTCATCGAAGATGTTGGCGTGCTGCCCTATAGATGTAGTCAAGGACGAAGGTATGTACGTTGACCTATAATGGCGACCTAAAGGCGACCGTCCACTTCGAGCATGTTAACACCTGGTACCTCAAAAATTTGGTCGACCGGTAGAGCGGCTTGATCAACAAGTTGACGTCAAATGGTCGCGCTCAGTGGTTGACTGTTTACAAATACGAAGCCTAGGTGTTAACTCTCAGTGAAAGACGGCCGCCTTTATCTGGCGTCATGTACTGCAGGTGCTGCGTGTCGAGATACGAGAGATGATATTGGGAAATCTTAAACAGCACGGCGGTAAGGTTGTAGGGCGCGGGTGGTGATGATTTTAGTGTCTTGATGGCCCGGGGCAATTCGCAAGGGAAGTTATAGAAGTACAATTTAGGTGTCGACGCAGATGTAGACGCATTACGCTCCCACAGGGCCAAAAGATGAGGCGTTGAAAGCCTTTACCGAAGATGTGTTACCGTTTCTCCAAAAGGAAATCCACCGAGTGCCGTTGACCGAGAATGAAAAGCAGCCGCTACAGACCAAGCCATGCTAAGTGCACGCCAGCCTGTGCCGCCGCCGGACCCGACCCATATTCGATGAACTTTTTTGTTGACGCATATACCCGAGTAGTGTGATAAAGCCGCATTAAACCGATTCGCAGTAAACAGAGAAGTGTAGGATAGGGGGTACATGAGACAAGCGAATGCCGTGGGGTGTTGTCATGTCTGAAAAGGGTGTGCTGTAGCAACTCAGAACCGCTCAGGCTCTAGGGGTGTCAGCTCCAGCTTGCAACTCTAATAACGGTTGTAGTCACCCCGGTCATCATAGGACCTGCCACCTCCACCGCCGCCGCCGTAGCTACCCTCTGGGCGAGGAGGAGGGGCGTCACCATAACCACCTTGTCCACCAGCAGGTGGAGGAGGGCGATCATAGTAACCTCCGCCGCCACGACGCTCCTCACGGTAACCGCGTTCATCGCGAGAGGCATAGCGGTCAACGCCACGAGAGCCATAGTCATCACGATCGCGACGATAGCCACGGTCATCGCGGTCATTGTAACGTGAGCCACGATATCCGCCGCCACCACCACCACCGTAATCGTCACGGCGCCCGTAGCCTCCACCTCCTCCGCGACGGTCATCGTAGCGGTCGCCGTAACGGTCGCCGCCGAAGCGTCCACCGCCTCCGCCGCGGCCACCACGACCACCAAATTCTAGGAATGCTGATCAGCTACATGTCATACGATTAATGGACATTTGCCAAACTCACCACGCTTGGGGGGGCCATAGTATTTTCCGGGTGTAGGGATGCGCGGCTTGGAGCGACGTGCCTTCTCGATGCTCAGCGTTCGGCCTTGATGAACTTCACCTTGGAGGCCCTCCTTTGCGGCATCAGCCTGATCAGAAGTGACCATTTTGACGAAGCCGAAGCCACGAGACTCCTTTGTATGAGGATCGCGCATGATGTTGCACTTCTCGACCTCGCCATACTTCTCGAAGAGACGGGTTACCTCCTCTTCGGTGAGGTTTGGGTGGATGCCGGTGACGAAAAGGTTAGAGCCAGGGTTGCGAGCACCTTCCTCGTCCTCCTCTTCGTTGAGGTTACGGGGGATGGGGAGAGGACCGCTGTTTGAGGTGTAAGCCTTGTGTTTCTGTGAACCGAATCGAACCAAGAGGCTGGCTACTCACCGGGCATCGCGTCCATTAGGAGAGGCGCTGCGAGCTCGCGAATCATCGAGATCACGACGGTCAGCGCGAGGAGAACGGCTGCGGTCGCGCTCGTAGGCACGGGGTTCGTCTTCGCGTTTGATGTCAGCAGGTGAGAACGGCGTGGAAAAGGGATGGGTGATGGGTGATGGTGCATCAGAGGAGATGGTGGCTATGATGGAGAGGGAGGGTGAGGAGACGCAATAGACGTACCGTCGTAAGGACGCTGCTCGGATTCGTAGTCCATTGAAGCCATGATTGAGATGGCGATGTTGTGTGGGTCGAAAGTGACGGTTCGACGGATTGATGGGTAGGAAAGTTTTGGGGGGCGATCGACGTTCCCGCCAAGAAGAACCTCGCTAACTCAGGCAGGTCCACAAGAGGACGGAGGCCGACAGCAACAAAGCAAGGCAACTTCACCTACGCAATATGCTCCCACGTACTGTTATGTAGGTAGGTGGATACTTAGTGACTTGTAGTTGCAGTGCTGGTTATGTGTCGAACTCGTTGTTATTATTGTTGTTATGGCTAGGGAAGTGGGAACAAACGGAGAGGTGAAGGTAGTAGGAGAGCTTGGAGGCTTTAGCCGGAGTGGGAGAAAGATGGAGGAGAAAGAAGAGAAGAGAAGAGAAGGAGGAGGAGGAGCGCAAAGTGGCAGGTAAATACCACAGTAAATCACCAGGCAGGCTGCCGCATAGAGGTACCTAAACCAAGTAAAATGAAACGGTCTCAGAGGACTGCTACCAAGGCCTTTCTTTGACGTGATTGAGGCGACAAACAAACAAGAGCACAGGCTATTGGGGTCACCGAGCTGAAGTGAAGTTGAGAGAGACAGGAGACCACCCACACATTTGGAAGAATGAAGGAATTTAATGAGAGACAGCAAATCTAAGTAACATAGGTAATTACACACGCAATTCAGCTGGGCGCATTATTGGTATTGCTTTGCTTTCTCACTCTCTCATCAATTATCTGATGCTATATCCAATACAATCCTCTGCCCTACCAAGGCGTGCAAGGCTACCTACCCTACCGCCTCAATTTTCAATTACCCTTGCTTGCCCAGCTACAGCTCGCACTGCTTCTCACATCTAATTCATTGCCTCACTTGGTCGTTGTCGCCAAACACTCCCAATCACGAATCACATTTTTCTGCTAAGCTTTTCCCATCAGCCACTGCCTTGCGCTGGCCACTCAGTCCACTCAACACGAGCTGACCGCCACAAGCCATAGATGAATGATGAAACCATAGTTGTGTACCCATATTCATTATGTATACCTAGTTCAAAAAACTACTTTCTTACTTAGCTGCTAGCTAGCTTACTGCAAGAACCCGTCAAAACGCTTGAAAAGAAATCGACGGCTGCTGGCCAGACGTGAAACATGTCGAAAAGTAAACCTGACACCAAACCATTCTCCAGCACACCAATCCCCCATTATCGAGAAACCCTTGTTGCCAGAATAACCCCACATACACCTCCCAAACCTCAGAATTGGTATAATAATGTACAATGCTAGTGAAATCAAGATATGACACGACATACTGTGTAGACACCCTACCACGTATGCGTCAAAAGTCCGCATGTCTCTGGGCAGGTGTCAATCAAGAATTGAATATGGAAACTCCTCCCTACCCCTCTCTCATCTATAAGCTCGTGTTCTCTTCTTCTGCGTTCTCGCCGCTTTCCGTCGTGTTTCTGAAACAGATGTTTCCGGGGCAAGACCTTCCGTCGGCATCTGCTCTTCCGAATCTGCGAGCTCATCGAGCTCATCATCGTCTAATTCGCTGAGTTCCTCGCTCATGTCGCGGAGCAAATCTCTCCCCGTCCATTTCTCGTCGTGTATGGTGGTGCCTACAGGACTAAAGGGTTCCATGTACCACGGTATGCCACCTTGAGTAGTGAATGCTAGTAGGTCCCGTTCAGACCTTGGTGGCGTGAGAGGGGGTGCACCTGCGCCGGTGTTCTCCGTGACTTCTCTGTCGATGTCCATGGCATCCTCGTCGCCATCGCCCTTTCCAGCAGACACGTGCAGAGCTTCTTGCCCAAACTGAGCAGCAATGGCTGCCTCGTCTGCTGCATCGTCTCGCAATTGAAGGTGATGTTCCGCCAAATCTTCGTCAGGCGTCGGTGCAAGGTGCATATGCTCATCCTTGACTTTCTCTTCTTGCAAGTCTCCATTGGTGATGCGTCCATTCGCGACCGTTTCGGTGGAAGCCTCGACGTGATTTTCGTTTCTCAATGAGGTGCTTCGTCGTCGACCTAGACTCTGATCGAGCAAAGCTTCCAGATTGGGCAGTTCCTTCTCGTATGGCTTGCCGGCCAGGTCAGACTCGCTGCGCAGAGCTTCCTCGAATTGGGGTTGAATAGCTTTGATGATGCGTTTCGCCAGCTTCTTCACCTCCTTTTGTTCGGACGTCAATGAACTATGGGCTACACCACTAAGTTGTTCTTCGGCATCAACAACGTTTGTGATTGTTGCAAAACCAATAACGGAGCTGAAGACCGCTGCCATGTCCTCACTGAAATTCTGCACCGAAGTGTAGAATTTATCGTCGAGTTTGACTTGTATCTTATTAAACCCATCAGAAAAGTTCCCTTTGTTATCGAGACTGTGTATTGAGTTAGCAACTGCAACCAATGTGGTAAACTGAGCAAATACTTACTTCTGTGCTTTATCCAGAATCGGTTGAAGCAGTTTGGGAATCGGGAAATAGACAGCATCGAGTATGCTCTTTAGAACAAGAGTGCTCTGTAGCTTTTCCGCCTCTCGTTTTCGGACAAGGTCACACAGGACACGCATCTGCTCCATGTCGTCTTCCAGTCGCTCGGCAAACTCAATGCGACGTTGAAGGCGCGGTCGGCCCACGGCACCCATGGCAGCAAAATTGCGCCGAGTGACCTCCATCGAGGAGAAAGCCTCCATTTGGAGCTGGAGGCGTTTCAACAAGGCAGCGCCTCGTCTGGCCTCGCGCTTCAACGTCCAGTACTTGCAGGCTTCCTGAACGAACTCTTTCCTTTTCCGCACCGCGAATCTGATAAGGGCATTTTCGACGTTGTGATAGACGGATTGAGGCACGACCGGAGCCCCAGATGGTAACCGCCATGACCTGGTGGATTGGCCTCTCTTGCGCTTATTAGCTCCGCCTCCATCCCAAGCTGCGTCCTCGGGTCCTTCGACTGAAGGCATTGGTTGGCTGGTGCCCATCGACAATGCAATAGCTTGGCTGTCACCCCAGTGTACGTGGCGTAGGGTTTGCTTATAGAACATCTTAGCGTCTGCAAATGCTTCATCAACATCGTTTTCACGACGCCAGTCGCCAGGACTGTGTCGATTACAGTATGCTTTGAGTACAGTAGCATCCATCGAATTTGACGATTGTGTCGACTTCATTCTGAGGCACAAGCGCGCTCTTCGGGCACAAGTGACGTGAAATGCCTCGAAGCAGGACTTGTGGCCGCACTGAATGCAAGCACCCATTTTCTGTTTGCAAATGTAGCAAGTCTGAATTGTCGTTAGCCCTGTTTTCACTTGAAGAAATGCAATGTCTCGGAGACTTACCAGTTTCCAGCGGGTTTTCGGAACCTTTTCGACATCCTGCACTGGCTCTTGGAAGGTAGTATTCCCTAACGACACCTCAGGTATCCACATAGCGCAAAGCAGATGGGACCACTTCATCGATGTAGTCTGCTTGAAGGCGCCGTCTATGTTCGGGCAGAATATGCAACCCTGCAGAAAGTAAGCAAGCTGGATGTGAAGGGAATGTTTAGAGATCATACTGGTTGTTCACTGATGGGGGTCCCGCGTCCCACGAGTTGGCATCTCCTGCAAAGCCACTGTCCTTCAGGAATGAACGGCACACCGTAGCATTCTTGGTGCACAGCAAGATCACAGCCGTCGCAAAACACAATAGCATTTGTATTTTCGCAATCGCCATCATCGCAAATTGCACACTTGGTATCTTGCTCTTCATTTTGTCCGGCAGGTTCACCATTTACTGCAGCTGCCGAACTCGATCGAGGTCTGTGGGTCTGTGGGGGTTTTGGGTTTGGTTTCGGAATCCCTATGCTATGGTGAGATCGTGCCAATTGCTGTAATCAATCCAAATGAACTTACGTTTTTCTAGTGCGTGCCACTCCTTTTCGATTTGGGTTATGGTCACTTCGAAAATTGCGGGCTTGATAGGTTCAACTCCTTCTTCCCGCCGTTGTTCATTGAGCTGGCCTAACCAGCGATCATCTTGCTCATCCATGTCATATTCGACACGTCCGATAGCTACGGCGCTGTTGGTATTTTCGCCACCAGCCTGTGATGGTATATCCAGATCGTCTTCTATGGAGCCCTCGGGGACCCTGACGAGACTTCGCTCTGGTCTGAGGAACATTTCGCTCTCTTGATATCCAAGTCCTGCCATGGTGCGGTCTACGTAGTTGACCTGTACACCTTCGCCTTCCTCGAAAGATTTGAACGGATCGACTTTCCGTACGGAAGGTTTGGGCAGATTGAGCTTCTCCTTCGGGTTCATTGTGGGAAGCGGAACTATGCGGGGGGCAGGTGGAGATCCTAGACCGGTGAGCATCGAATCCAGTTTGCGAGGCGGTCGCCCGACGCGTCGTTTTATAGGTGTAGATAGGCCGCCATTTAGCCCTCCAGTTGAACCCTCGTTATCCTGTGACAAACGTATTGCCTCGTCGAGTATCGCTGATGCACCACTTTCGATGGCATATTGGCCAGTGGAGCCATTGAGTGGCGTGCCAGGGCTCGATACCGCAGGGCTTGTGCCATCCACCAAGTCTGCACTGAATATCTGGAACTCTGTATCAATGTCAAGATCTTGATGGAACTCCTCCCAGCCACGCTCTTCTCTAGGCTTGTATCCATCACTTTGCGCCACTGCAGCAGCCACTGCAGCGGCAGAACTAGATCGAGGTCCAGAGGGGCGTTCACGCCGAGGTCGGGGGTAAGTTCGTGATGGTGAAGGTGCAGAGTAATTGATACCCTGCTTTTCGGCGTTCATCCTGCCTATGCGACCGCGCGGTCCAGTATATGCGTATCCTCCGGGTCCTGTACCTCCTACTGGCGTTTCCTGGCCAGCGTCATCCACGTATCTACCGCCACCACCTGGTCCTCCAGGAATATATCGTCTCGCTTGTGCGCGAGCGGATTCGGAAGCGATTCGTTTCTGTGGTCTACCGGCAGACCTAACGCGTGAATTTGGTGTTCCCGGGATCGGGGCCATTGCGCAAAGGGCGGAATGCTTATAAAGAGTCTCGAAAATGTTGGAAGGGTCAGGTCGTCGTTCACGCGCCCAAGCTGATGATCTGTCACCCAGGTCACCGTATGCGCGCAAACAACGGGCAGGCAGGCTGCAACGCGCTCATCGGTGAGGGAACAGCGAGTAGATTTGCAAGTCGTACAGCGTGTTCGAGGCCGACTTCACACTTGTTGAGAGCGCGTACCCGCGAGCACTGATGTTGAAGGTCAGAAGGAGGTCGAATCGCGCTAACCACTCCTGCAATAGCGTTGCCAAGCATTACCAATTCACCAAACCTCGTTAACTGCAGCCCATCAGCTTAGCGTCCGTCCACATTCCTCGCTTCTCCCCAGCCGCGATCCTGAACGATCCATTGCCTGCCGTTCGGCTTCTGCTCACTTTGCCTTGTCTTTCTTCGTTTTACTGTGCAAGGCTTAAATGTGTGTGTTTCCTATTTATGGACTGCTCTTAAGCCGCGTTGAAGGTCGCCTAAACCAAATAGTATGCCGAAATGTATTGCAGTGCAAGTCAAGGAGTGAATGGCTTTAATCAATTCAGGCATTGGTTCTGAATTATTCTATGCTTGCTCATGAGTTCTTGCTAACAAATACGAGAAACGATGCCAATTCGAGGCGCTTTTTCTAAGACTTCTATAATTCACTTTGATGATGGGACGGAACACAGAATCATTATTGATGTATTCGCATTGCAACAACATTGATCCGCTGACCCAATATCGCCTTTTCGCCTTTTATCTGTATCGCTGAATGAAAAGTATATCTCAGATTCAATCTCCTTTGAACTCTGATTTCGTGGATTATAGCCCCCGCCGAACCAGGCATTGTCTGGAGCCACAAAGGAACCCTCCCAGTTACCCCGGATTGTCGCAAGCGTCCCTGTCAGGAACCGCGTGTATCCCGCACGGCTAGCAAACAACATGACGTACAGTCAGTCCATGTGCCCTGCCGTGCCTGCGCTTCCGGGGACGGGAACCAACTCGGACAAGATTCCCCACACGCGCCTACAATGCCATACTTTCAGCCCTGGGATTCTCACATGTTACCTAGTTTTTTAACAAAACCAATGTTCGTGCAGAGCAAATCAACCCGGGCAGTTCGATCATGGTTCGACAAGTGTCAGTACAAATCGAATTGTTACCGTACAGAGAGCAATGTGAAATGCCTGCAATATCGATGAGGATAATTTGCAAGACAGCTAGACTGATCCTGACAATGAATCTACTAATATATTTATTGTACATCGTAGATCAAACTGCGCCAGTTCGGTCTACTGTCATATCCTTCTTCTTACGAGAATTCATAGTCCAATTCTCGAAACTTGCAAGACGTTGCGATGGATCTGGTCTTGAGTGATATTATTAAAGAAATGTCAGAACTACCTTACACACCATTGAAGACAGAGAGGCAAGTTTGCTTTCGCTTATAGCTATGCGCACTTTTAGGGCGACCAATATTCTTTTCGAAACGAGGATTCCGAGATCACGCCTCCAATTTGATCGCGAGAACCGATGAGACAGTCTCTTCTGTATTCTACAATTCAATTGTGATGCAGAGCACGTCACGTCAACAGCCACCCTCAAAGGCCCGAAATCGTAACGGAGTGCAAGCACTCTAGTCCAAACCCGGAAGAAACCTTGATGGAGTTTCGTTGACATCTTGTCGGAATACATCACCCGAGCGGCAGCTTGACATGGCCGTATCCGCGGGGATTAGGGTGATCATATTGTAAGCCACATCAGCAAGCTGCAATGAACCGAGTCCTTTGGTGAGATTAAACTTAGTTCGCCGCCATATTTACTGTTCCAACATTTTCCGATGGTTAAGAATTCCTTTGTTCATTCTGCGCCTACATCACGGTATTGGATTTGGTTATTCATGAGTTCGGAGGCGCACAATAGCTTTCTTCTTGACAAACGCTGTTACTGGAGACAGAAATTTCCAGAATAGGGAAGAAAACGAATAATTGTCGAATACTGCCACTCCTCGTGGCAATGCAACTGCTGCATGTCCCACTCTCGTCACATCCAATCACGGCTATTATCTACACCTTGACTTTACCATTACTGGCATCGTCTGTTACATCTCCTCAATCCTCCTGGACCAATTACCTCCTGGACCAATTACCTCCGACACCGAGTCACGAGTACTATTCGCAGTCCTTCGTTGATGTACTCGTATTGTCAGTTTACTCGCGCTCCACGACTCGCGAATCCGGCACCTTTGTCACCAAAAGCGTACACATTGTTCCCCATCCGCAACCCCTCGGCGTAGACGTCTTAGTGGGCTTACTCGACCTAGTTCACTAATGGCGTCCTTTGGACGAATAGGTGGTTTGAATCCCCGCGGGGACCCAGACGCGGGGCAATGAAGCGGGCGCAAGTGATCTGCTACCAATAATAATAAGGCGAAGGGCCTCGCTGTAGATGAGCAGCTCTTAATGTTTTATGTTATACGCCTTCATTCGTTATTCACTTGATATTCACTCAAGGCTCTGAAAGTTATACTCTGAAGACCTGCGTACTTACTCGTAGCAATTCGGCAAGATACCATGGCGGTTGAAAACAACGGAAATGGCGTTCAGATCGAAGTCCCCAAGACGTGCAAGGCTGGTGTCGTAGTAGATGAGGGTCCAAACTTTCGAGTAGAAGTAGAAGACGTGCCAGTGCCTGAGCCCGGTAAGAACTCCTTGCCATCATCTTTAACTTGCATGTACATTTCATTTGAAAGAGAAATGTCCTAACACATTTCTTCAGGGCCCAACGATGTTCTGATTAGAATGAATGCCACCGGTATCTGTTATTCAGACATCCATTACATGCTGATGGACCTCCCCTTACCACCCATGTCCCACTTTGGCGTTCGATCACCTGGCCACGAAGGCGCAGGTGTCGTTGTCAAACTTGGATCGAACGTCACCAACTGGAAGGTTGGCGACCGCGCAGGCATCAAGCCCGCGTACGACGCCTGTTTCAATTGCGAGCTCTGCTGGACGGGAAAAGAGACCCATTGCGATGAGAGCCCCCAGATTGGCCTCCAGTTCCCCGGTAGTTATCAGCAGTATATCTTGAGTCCTGCTCGATACACGCAAAGAATCCCTGACGGGGTCGACGATTTCACAGCTGGTCCTATCATGTGCAGTGGAAGCACAATTTACGCGAGTATCAAGGAATCTGGACTGAAGCCAGGAGACTGGGCGGTCTTTCCCGGAGCAGGAGGTGGCGTTGGCCACATGGGAGTTCAACTTGCGAAAGCCATGGGTATGCGTGTTGTTGGTATCGACGGTGGTGATGAGAAGAAGGAACTTTGCATGAAGCTCGGTTGCGATGCCTTTGTAGACTTCACAAAGGTAAAGGATGTTGCAGAAGAAGTAGTGAAGATCACCGACGGGAAGGGTGCGCATGGCGTTTTTGTGACAGCTACAAGTGCCAGCGCATACGCCTCTGCCCCTATGATGACGAGGATTGGTGGGAAGGTCCTGTGCGTGGGTTTACGTGAGTAAGACTTGATCAATACTTGGAACCAGATGATTGACCACTGCACAGCTCCTGCTGGCACTGCAGTTGCAGGCGCCGATCCGCTTCTGTTTGTAGGTAAAAACCTACATATCATCGGCACAAAGGTTGGAACGCTTCTCGATACCCAACGTGCTCTTGAATTCGCTGCACGAGTAAGTCTTCCAGGAGCCTCAGGATGTCATTTGTGGGCTAAAATAATCTAGGGTCTATTAAAACCTATCTATGAAGTTTTTCCTCTTGCCAAACTGCCGGATGCTGTAGAGAAACTGCGTAGTGGCAAAGTTGCAGGAAGGCTGGTGGTCGATTTCAATTCATGATGGGAGAAATACATAGAAATGAAAATATTCTTACGCTTGCCACATATAAACCAGCATTAGCTCCATACTTTTTGTTACGCAATTTGAAATGTATAACTAACTGTGTTATGAAGTGAGGAGTGGAGAAGTCAATTGATTGATGGTAGAGGTGGCTGGGTGAATCTTCCTCGGCGCATCCTGATGGTTGAGGCTATCAGTAGACTCATAATTTTGACCATTCGACGACTTGCATTTGAAAATAGCATCCTGATGAAAATGATTGACTGGCTTAGTCGAAGGCTACTTCGTCCACCACCCAAGAATCCTCTCGAGCTCCTCGAGCACTTCCATATCTCCCTTGACTCCTTCAATATCTCGCCTGATTCGTTCTATATCTCGCCCGATTCGTTCTCGTCTTTCGGTAAGAATCGCAGTCGCGACCTTCTTTTCCCTGTAATTGCCGTATAGAACCCCCGAAAGGCCAGTGAATGCCGAGACTAAAAATGTTAGATGCAGGCTACAGCACGATCCATCTGTCAAGAATTTGTAAACCGGTAAGAGGATGTAAACCAGTCTCTTTGGTACATATTTTTGACAACTAGCAAGGCATACTTAAAGATTGGAAGCCGCGAGGAGGATTGTGATCTACCTGGCCAGTAGTCGAGGAGGAATATTGGGACTGGTATTCTGGCGGGCCATAGGATGAATTCTGCTCGAGCAAAGCCCAGTAGCGTACTTGAAAGGAGGAAGGATTCATATTGGAAGAATGTTGTTTGAACGGGGGAAAGAAGAGTAGAAGACGAGTGGCCGCCTTTTTGTGTCGGTTGAACTTGCGATATACCAAGGTTTGCACTTCCCAACAAACCAGTGTCATCCTCTCCCAACTAGTCAAATGACTGTTCTGCACTACCGCAAATACGGGAAAGGTAAGAGTCACCGTCAGTGCAAATCATAAGCAATATACATCTTCAAAGCAGAGGATTGACATTAAACTATGGTGGAATCAGATTACTGACCACAACACCATGGAGTCATCTCCGCCTCAAAGTTTTCGTACAGCGTACTTTCTCTGACATCCTGCTGGCCCGTATACCAGTCTTCATCATTCTCTAATTGATGAATCATTGCCTTCTCCAGCTCCATCCTTTCTTCGCTGCCCCGGTTGTTGTATAGCTCGTGTAATCCAACCGATCCATTTGTGCGCTCCCGCTTCTCTGCCAGGTCTTTCTTGCGTGCGTCAAAGACTGACCTGACTTCCCCAGGCAGAACATTGACCCAATGCCAATCCATTTGCTTAATATCATGGGTTATCGAATGCAACATCCACTGCCCAGCTTTGTCGAAGTGTGCGTCGCAATCGACTACCGGGCAGTCGAAAGGGATCGACCGACCCTCATCAAAGTGGTACCGATCCAGTGCTTCGATCGCAAGGACATCGACAGCAATTAATTGATACCACAGGCGTTTGCCTTGATATCGTTCCGATTCGAACAGGCCCGCAGGCCCGCGGAAACCTTTCAAGGGCATGAGAATCGTCGTTCGCTGCCAGTATGGTGCTAGTTTCTTCCACTGTCCATCCGCCCCGTATTGGTATAAAGGTCTTTCCCACATGAGCTCTTCACCGTCGATGGCTCTCCTGTTCTTCACGCTTTGTGCATCGTCAACGATCAAAATGCGAGCATCGAGACTCTGTGGACAAGTCCGCATCAGGGCTCTCAAAGCAATCGAGACAGAATGGTCGTCACGAAACCTCTCGGGGCTCTCATGCGAGTGATTTAGGACCACATGTTTCACACTCGGGAACCTTTCCTGCAAAACATTCCAGAATTTCCTTACTTCATCCCAGCGAATCTCGAAGTCGTCGTCATTGCACCGGATCAGGTCACGCTCGGACATAAAAGTGACTTCCAAGTTCTGCACTTTAGGGAAGAAGGAGAATGTATTTCCTGTGTCGGCGGGAAAGCCTCCTGAGAGGAGCCAGGGCGATTCAATGATATAGTACGTTTCCGGGTCTGCCCAAAAGAGCTTCTCAGCCTCATCACGATGGGTGGGAGATGCGCGCATGATCTGAAATAGAGTGGGTGCAGAACAGAACGACAAGATATGTATCTGTAGCTCAACAGGAAGTCGATCGAGTGGAAAGGTCGCAGGACTGGCCGATGGAGAGTCGACGGAATTAGGCTTGACGTACATATGGAAGGGAATGCGTGCTTCTCCCTCCAGATTGATATGAAGGTCCCAATTCAAAGGCTTCGTCCATGGTGGCAGGGACAGACTTCGAAGGAGGTCAGGAAAGTACCTAGGAAACCATAACATCTTGATATACTCGATAAAGGTTGCGTTGACGGTGGTTGCACTTGTCAAACAGGTCCGGCACTGCTGTAGGACATGGAAGGATGGCCTAAGCGAGCACGGCATCATTGTTTGAGGTTGGGGTGGGCTCCTAACTATTCCGTGCGTCGTCGAGGTAAAGACTTACTCAATAAACATGCATCATACTCGTAGAGTTGCCTCGTACCGTCATAGGATCCATTACTATAGGTTCTTAAATTTACGATTTCTCGCGAAGCCTCACGATTTGACTGAGGCCTGTAGCCACGTGCTAGGCAACAATCAAGGTGCGACTGCGCCGCGCACTTCCATAGGCTACTGCAGGGCTGTAAATCGAACATTGTAGATACTCGTAGGAAATCTGCGCGTGGTAACCTTTGAAAAGTACAAGAATCACATCGGAGCCTTGATGTTACTCATATAGTCACCATACTGGTACCTACCTAGGTACGTAGACTCACCGTCCACCACATCACCTTTTTGACATTCTAGGCTAAATATAACCCCCAATCAATGCATTAAGCACCGTACGATATCCCGTGGTTTCAATACACCGTTCCCTTGCCTCCTACAAAACACAAAAAATTCCCCAAAGCAGTTATGTTTTCGAAAACCGTCGAAAGCAGTAGATCATCGATCTAGACCAACAATCCCGATGTTCTCTCGATTGCGGTGCGCGGACGCTAGCTCCCTGTACACCCCAGGACGCCTTCGTCTCCATCCATTTGCTGCGGCCGTTGGATCCGCCACCCTTAGTGGTGCTCGATTCCGATCTGGGGGTTGGCAACCGTCATAATCGTACATACAAATAGACGGGATCGCTCGATCGTTTATTGAGGGAATGCGATCACACAGCGATCTCGATTCGTTGGTTTTTCGATCCCTTGTCGCATTCTGCATCATCGAGAGTTGTCAAGTGGAATGCTGCTCACACATTGTCTTTTGTAGCTTTGAGAAGGTGTTTGTAGTAATTATTCATGCCATTGAAACTCTATCATAAACGTCGCATGGGATATAAGTCTAAGGTGTGTTGATATCATATATACATAGAAGGGGGGGAATCAAGTTTGCAGAAAACCAGCCACAGGGGAAAACCTGCAGGCAATCTAGGCCACTCCTTACACCTTGTTAGCCTGGACCTCTTCAGCCTTGACAACCTGGCCCTTGCCGGACTCCAGGTCCTTCTCATTGAACAGATCGACCACCTTGTCCGATGCGACAGGCGCGTCGATACCCGTGCGCACCTCGGTGAAGGCATCGAGCTCCTTCGCCTTGAACAGGTTGAGGTAGATGGGAAAGCTGTAGGCGATGATGAAACCTCCGAGCGGGACGCACATTGCGATGCGGGTGTTCTTCGCGTCGGCGACGGCACCGAGCATGACGGGGAAGACGGCACCGCCGGACACGGATGCGACGATGAAGGAGGCACCGCGCTTGGTGTGACGGCCGAGACCACGGAGGGAGAGTGTGAAGATGGTGGGGAAGATACAGGATTCGAAGAAGAGGACCATGGAGAGCATGGCGATGGCGGCGTTGCCGTGGGTGCCGATGGCTGCGGAGATGAAGATCATGATGCCGGTCATGAAGGCAAGGAGGATAAGACGGGGCTTGATCCACTTCATGCAGAAGGATGCGACGAAACGACCGATTGCGAAAAGACCTTGAGCAACAGCGAGGAGGTTGGCACCGTCAGCAGAGGACAATGAGGGCTTGGCCTCGACGACGTAGTGGATGAAGTATCCAGCGATGGCAACTTGCGCACCGACGTAGCAGAACTGAGCGGCGGTACCCCAGAACAAGGTGTACTGCTTGTGAAGGGGCTTGTCGACGAATCCAGTCTCGACTGCGGTTTGCTCAGACTGCAAGGCAATATCTGCGTCGGTGACCTCGGGGATAGGGGCGAAGAAGAAGACAACGGCAAGGAGGAAGACGAAGCAGGCGATGCCGAGATAGACCCATTGTACCGACTGGAGAGAGTTGCTGTCCTCGCCATGGACGTTCTTGAAGATGACGAAGGACGCGAGGATGGGTGCGACGACCGAGCCGATAGCCTGGAAACTCTGGGCCAAGTTCAATCGAAGCTCGCTGTACTTTGGTGGACCACAAGTCTAAAGTAATGTCAGTCTCGGGTTCTGGTAGTGGTTTTGACCTGCCGCAGATGAACTTACAGCAATGAAGGGATTGGCACTGGTCTCAAGAGTCGAAAGTCCGGAACCGACAACGAACATAGCGCCGCAGAAGCCGCCAAAAGCACGCTTCACTCCACTAGGCCAGAAAAGAAGAGCTCCAATGCCATAGATGGTGAGACCGGTGATGAATGTCCACCTGTATCCGAACTTGCGAACGATCCATCCAGAGTAGGTGAGGGGTCCGATGAAGTAGGCACCGAAGTAAGCACTGATGTAGTTGTTAACTATGACCAGTGGAAAAGATGTGCTCTGTTTACATACCCTTGTAATCCTGCCGCTTGAGCGGCTGAAATGTGAAGTGTCTCCTGGAAGTGCTTGTTGAGGACATCTAGCAATCCATATCTACACCCGTTGTCAGTACGGTCGATACTAAAAAGAGGTTGGGAAGCCTTACGCAAAACCCCACATGAAGAAGAGAACTGTCACAAGAGCGACTGGGATGATAGACTGGCGTGTGGTAATTTCTCCCGCGCCTGTAACAGCGTGATCGTTGACAGACTGACGTCCACGAGCGTTGTTCATTGCTTCGACTGCAGAAGGTCTGCGACCTGTGCTGTCAACTGAGGACTGGCGAGCAGTGTTACTGCGGCCGAAGAATTTGAGACCCATAGTCAATGAGAAAGAGTATGGTATAGAAGAACAATGTGTAAAGATGGAAGAAGATGAGAACAGTGCTCAGCGCCAACTGTGAATTGAGAGTTGAGTGAGCTGGTTGCTGATGAGGATCTACATCGTGGATATCAAGAGCAGTTATATAGTACTCCTATTCGAACTCTGCACATATCACCATTGTTTTTCTGCTACTCCATTTACGACCAATAATGCTCCATACCTGGACGCCGCAGCTTGGCTGTCGCCATCTCCCGCACAACATCCATGAGCATTTCGTAGCACCATATGTACCGGACCGGTACTAGAGCCTCATTAGGCCTATGGATTTCTTCACCAGTTCCTTTTGCGACATTGTCCCTGCTGCTCAACAGACCAGTGTTGGGACCAGTAGGCGCTTTGGCCACTCGAGAGCAGTCGAGATGGGGGACTATGACCTGGAGATGCTGGAGGTCGGGCCGAATGCACTAGTGGTCTGGGGGAAATCTGGACGACGCCCAGGCAAGCCGGGGTGCTTGGCTATCCCGTCAGGTTGCTTGTGCGTTGATGGGGTAGAAGATCTTGCACTTTGAGGCTTGCTCTCCGATGACTAGATGTTGAGATGCACTGTGCCAGACAAGGGTTTCCCCCAGGGTGTTCTTCAAGAATTATGTCATTGTTGGGCTTTCCTCTTGGGAGAAGGATACAATCAAGGAAGATCCCACTTGGAAGACGCGCTTGGGTTCATAGAACAAGAAGCAAGACATTAGACTTCTTCTTGATGCTCCATCATGTTCATTTTACGAGACTGAAGGTACGATCAAGAAGAGCACTTGGGCGGAGGAGTCTAATGGGCACTGAGTGATAAGTTGGAAAGAGTAATACGCTAGAAGCATGGAAGAATCTTCTCTTGCATCTACTGGAAACGCTAAACCGCAATCTTGCAAGGACGCACACAGTTTGCTGAACATAGATTGGTTGGATTCGACCCTGTCTACATCTATTGGTGACCGAAGAATGCCCGATTGAAGCATTGCTCTCACGGTAGTTCAACTCTTCTGGCATGCCTGGAGAATGCAGCCAATAAAGACAGGAGCTACCGATTAGTCGCGGCACATGCGGCCTTGGTGTTCACCGTTCGACCTGAGGCTGAGTTCATAGCGTTTTCCAAAGCTTGCATTGTTGAAGATCGATCAACTGCATAGGCCTTCCGGGAGGATTGTCGGTTGCCAAGAGTTCACCACTGTCACACTCTGCAACTAGGAACGACCCACTTTGAGCCTCCAACGAGCCTCATCAGTATAGAGATGTGAGCTGACTGATTCTAGGCAAGAGATACTACACGCTTGAAGAAGGTGATTTGAGCGCTTTAGACGCCCTAGCACTTTCTCAGGCTACGCCCAAGTTATAGCCCTTGTATAGCAAGATTGTCCTAACATCGAACCTTGGCCGCAGTGGGACTATCAAGGAGAATCCTGAAATGATGAATCCTTCCAATACGTTGAAACGTGCAGATAGTCGAACGATCACTCAATTGTCTGGCGATATCGGCCTTGAATGTATGCAGACCACGCTATGCATTCCAAGACTCCAAAAGACGCAGCCGTGCTTACACAGTTGAGCATGTTTGGATGGCGTGTTTAATTCCTGATCGTAGTTTCGTCAACCATCTTTTAGATAAGCCTCCACTTCCTCCACGCTTCTTCTCTCCACGACATCCAGACCCAACCTCTCCGCAATCTCTTCTGCGTAGGCATTCCCCACACTCTCAACAGACTCGCCCTTCACTCCTTGCTTTTCGAAGGTCGTCGTCTTCTTTCCTTCGAGCCCGCAAGCAACGATTCTATCAAACCACCACAGATCCGTGTTGATATTGAGTGCAATCCCATGGCTTGTAATGTTCCGTCTCATATGCACACCAAGGGCGGCGATCTTATCATCTTGGGATGTCCAGACTCCAGTATTTTCTGTCGTAATAGCTTTGATCCCATACTTTGCGCATGTAGCAATGAGACCTTTCTCTAGAAGACACACATAGCTCCTGGGCGTGAGTTTATGTGCGCGTAGATCGATGATAGGATATGTCACGAGTTGACCAGGACCATGAAAGGTAGTCTGGCCGCCGCGCATCGCTTCTACAAAATCGGCACGGCCATTGGCCCGTAGGAAGTTCTGTTGGTCCTGGGAAACATTGCCAACCTCTCGTCTACCGCTAGTATATACAGGGTTGAACTCCGCGGTTATGATGTGCGGAGGTGGAGAGGCAAGAGAAGATGGAGGCTTCGAGGCGAGAAACCGCGCAACGAGAGACTCTTGTAGGCGTGCAGCTGTAGCATAAGGAATGATTGAAGGGAAATGGACGTGAATTAGGGACTGCATTGCGGATGTTGCAAATAGGGTATTCAAAGAGTAGTGAAGAGCCTACATTATCGATGGAAGTCAATGATGGAATAAAAGTGCGGTTCGTCTTTGGATCCAGAGCTTGAGTATCCGCCAATATGCGGTCTGTGCATATCTGGTACCTGCTACCATAATTGGTTAGAATGGTAATCGGCTCGGTTTGCTCTAAGAGAACATTCGAAGTCTATTTTCTATCGTCTTGTCTTCCAATATCTATCGACTTCTGGGCATTGTGAAAGTTATACGATATAGAGGCAGGCACGGCAATAGGGTCTTAGAAGTAGATCCTAGACACAGTAGGGTTATGATTAAAGTTTCTTGATACACTTATCCTATCACGGAACGTCAGAAGTCTCGCTCAGTTGTCTCGTGAATGAATTATATGTATAGCTAATCTTAACATGTGAGAACTATTTACCAAATTATAACCTATGTCGAGATGATACTCCCAACTGTGATGTGAGAGGTTTAGAATAGTGCATCCATAGCCAGTGCTCGATGATGTAGAAGCGCGTCTGCTTCTTATCGATAGCGCGACTAAAACTAAATTTACGCGCAACAATTGTTCCGAACAATTGACCCATACTAACCACCATACCTCTACATACCAGTACCACAGCCTCCCACCTATTCCTCCGACATCAAACAGCAGCACCAATGCCTCCCCCCAGAGAACTTCCGCATAAGGGCAAAAAGCGAGCAAGAGACGGAACCCAGAAGCCTTCGAAAACTGCCGGAAGCCTCCAACCCCAATGCGCCCAACCCACCGACTCCAGCGTCTCGCAATCCAAAAAGCCTCAGAGCAAGCAATCCCAATCCGAGTCCTCAAAACCCCTTCCCACATCAACAAACCAGCCCTCGAACGCCTCACAACGAAGACAGAAACGACCTCGCCTGCCGAACAGTACGTCCCACCACCACCACCACCCATTCCCACAACACAAACCAACTAACCCCAACCTCCCAACAGACACCGAAATAACCAAACGCCCCCTCCTCCGCCCCGCCATACCCTCCCCCTTCGCCTCCGCCGCATCCCCCAAAATTGTCTACCTAAAACCCACCTCGCCCTTCGTGCCCGCCACCAAACGCGTCCGCGCCCTCCTCTCCGAGATAGAAAAGCGGCACCGGCAGTCTCTCGCGGCGCAGAAGACCAAGGGGTTAGGCGCGAGGGACGCACTGGCGGCGAACGGGCGGTTGGATCATAAGGCTGTGGAGCGGGCGATTGCGGAGGGGAGTGAGAGTCGCGGTGGGGGAGGGAAGCGGGGGATTGGGGAGGAGGAGGTGTTTGTGAAGGCGTCCGGGAAGGCGATTCCAAGGGCGCTGGCGGTGGGGAATTGGTTTCAGAGGGAGAGGGATTGCGTGGTTAGGGTTGAGATTGGGAGTGTGAGTGCGATTGATGATATTGAGGTTATACCTACGGTTAAGGATGCTACGGTTGGAGAGGCGATGGATGTGGATGGGGAGGTGTCTGCGAAGGGAGGTGGAAGTACGGCACAGGTTGCGGATGATGATGATGAGGTGCCGGAAACTAGGATTCGGACGTTGAGTACTGTTACTGTAGCTATCAGCCTGAGATCGTAGCCCACTAGAAAGTGGGCGATCACCAAAAATAAGATACCCAGGTGGTTACACCACCATCGTTCAGTCATGAAACATGTTTTCTTATGCATATAAAACCAGATATTGAGGAAACAATCGCAATAGCAAGCAAGGGCCTAGCAAGTTGGGTGAAAAGGGATCAAATATGTATCATTGAAGCTAGAAAAGTTCCTCTCATCTTCACATCCATACTAATCACACACATTCCATAACCCATCCAAAGAATACCTAAAAGAGTGTGACGCCCCACTTCCCGGCCGACCAGTTGACAAAGGAAATATTTGTGTGTCTTATTTGGATACAAAGAATGGAAAGGGAGCTTCCCAGTTGAGAGAAGTTTTGGTGCTTAGCCCAAATCGACTCATTACAAATCTTAAGAAAAGGAAGCGTAAGAGGGCAGGCGAACCTGCAAATCCTAGGCCTGGCCTGAAACCTGTGACGACCCATCCAATGACGCCATAAATTGCCGAATGCAAGGAAAAACTAAATGAATCGAATCGCTGTCGCCTGCAAAATATGTTTCTGCTTTTGACTCTGAAAAGGAATGATCGGGATATAGCAAGGTGAGAGCACCCGGTTGCTAAAGAAATTGTTAAAGTGTATATGTGACGATGATAATGTTAATGGCTCCACCGTATGCCAATATGATCGAGCCGTTGGTATGGGATCGGCAATGCACCCCACAGTACGCCGAAATTTTCCCCAGAGCGCTGGAGTCCGTAATGCAGGTGTGTTCGTGAAGGTGTCTATTGCAGAGGGCCATGATTGCGTTCGTTCCAATAAGAACCTTTTCGTATACAGTTCGGCTCAAACGCTGTTTTGCATACATCCAAACAGCCACCTGCTACAGCTCAACTGCAACTATTGTGGCTCAAGCACTGAATCTCGGTGCTTCCCCAGACTGAAATCTTCCCCAGAAGCGGCGATGTCCAGCCTGGCTGTAGTGGACAGATCGTTACTATGCATGCTTTCATCTCTCGACCTTGGGAACAGAGTTCAACCAGGCCATGACTGCGACCCCAAGAGCAACAACAGTAAGTATTGACATTGCAGGAGCTCCGTGGGAGAGGGCCGTGTCACTTCGATTTTGTGATCGTGTGACCAACTCCTGTGTGGCCTTGGACAGAGCTGCTGCATCTGCAGGGCTCACGGTGTGTCCGTTTTGAGCCACGATTTTTCGTAGCGCCGACTCTGTGTCTTCGGCCTCCCGCTCTGGCTCATTCATAATCATGATTTCGCCTTGTTCAGAGTATTCCTCTCCGTTTTGTCCCGCGTCATCGCTAGAGATTGATCTCGCACTGTCGAGCTCGGCCTGGTTTCGTCGTTTCGAAGCGTTGCTGGCGTTCTTTGCATCATCCGCCCTGATCTTTTCGATCATTTCTGCAAGTGTCTTACGGTGCGTTGCACTTTCAGCTTCTGCCGTTTCGGCTCGTAGTCGATAAGTCTCGATTTGCAGCTTCATGTCGTTCATTTCAGACATCATGGAATCAAGGCGTTGCTGCAGGCGATCTGATGCTGTATCGGCATGAGCGGGCGCAGCATCCTCGTCTGACGGAGACTCGTTTAAATTCTCTTTGGGTGCATTCTGGGAAGCTTCATCATCTCCGTTGACCAATGTAGGTCCCGACAACTCAGAATCTCTAGAAGCGTCTCGCTCGAAACGCTTTGCACGCTCTTCAGCATCCTCCCTTGCGCGACGTTCCTCGGTGAGCAGAGCCTCCAGAGTCTTCAGTTGAGCACTTTGAGATTCGAGTTCCTTCTTCGCTGACGACAAAGCTTCGGCTAATGTTGTGATTTGTGCGTCAGAACGCACTGGAGACCCATTGAGCTTGGGCCTCTCGGTGTCGGACCTGCGTAGAGAAGGCTGGTGGGCATCAGGCTTTTCAGGCAAAGGTTGCTGCGGTGGGGGTGCAGGAGGCTCAGAGAACCTTGCCTTGATGTCTTTGATGGGAGACACCTTGATGTGGTTGTTGGTAGTTGGCTTTGACTGATCTTTCTTAGGGTCGGCAGACAGGATGGAGTGAATGTAATGATGGGTCTGCTGGAGCTCTTGTGACTGCTGCCTTGCTACTTTTATCTCGGCCTAAATCGACGTTTAGTATGTGGGTCAGACACGGTCAACCGTAAATAGTCACTCACGTTAAGCTTCTTGACGACTTGCTCCATGGTGATGGGCTGAAGCCAAAAGCTGGGGTGCCTTGGCGGTTGCATGCCAACACTGTTTCCCATAGCAGCGCCAGGGCCCTGCATCCTGTTGCCGTTGATTGATCCTTGACTAGGGGTGCGACCACGAGGATTGCCCATCGGTTGTTGACCGCCAGCGCCCATGAGGTTCATCTGCTGATTCTCAAGCTCGCCGAAATTCATGTCCATGATGTTGCCCCCGTTGTTCGAGTAAATACCAGCATGTTCCACACGCGCAGCAACCTTGTGATGGACGATGGTCTTTTGATCTTCACTCACGATATCGATACCCAGCTCTAGCATGTCTTGTTCGCGGAGTTCATGCGGGTCTGAGTCTCGGTTCTCCTGCGACAGTCTCTGGGCGTTGACGAAAGTCCCGTTGGACGACTTGACATCTCGAATCCAGATCTTCCCATTACGATCGGCCCAGATCTCCGCGTGCGATCGAGATAAAACTTTTGAATCGAAGAATCCGTTGAGCGGCGTGGGTATCGTTTTGTTGTTGGTCTGTCGGCCGATGCGGAGGACATCGGGAAAGAAGGGCACAGTGATAGTCTTGCGCTCGAATGTGCCGTTCATGGGGATCAGGTGAAGGATGGCAGTACCGCCCTCCTGAGATTGCGGCCGCTGTGCACCATTTTGGGGGCCCTGGACGTTGCCATTGTGCTGCGAGGGAAGCATCGCCGAAGGAGACTGGAGCGCCGTCATGGCGGATGCAGCCGATGGTCTAGGGCCAGCAGAAGCGATGCTTTGTGGCCCTGCCGTTGATATACCAGAGATGGGTTCTGTTTTCGAAGGCGGCCATAGCCCCCGAGGAGCCTTTTTGCGAGCAGCTAGGGTGGATCCTTCGCCGGCGGGTGTGGAGCCAACGCCGTTTGTCTGGGACGATGAGGTGGAGATGGTGGATGTGGAAGATGCGTTGGATGATAGTGACGAGGAGGAGTTGGCGCGTTGGATGCTTTTGCGAGGCATAAACATCCTGTAGTCTTCGGTCATCGGCGTGGTCCCATTCGCAACGCCGTTAGTAGACCCACCACTCCATCCTTGGCGGGATATATTTTGGAAGTTCGGAGGAGGAGCGACGGCCGTCATTGACTACGATATGGGTGCTCAGTGAGCACCTGCCGCACCCTGGGATAGGGATGGGGGGATAGAGATATTGGTATGTCCACAAGTTCTTTTGGTCGGGTCTCACGATCCCCAAACCTTTTTATCAGTCGCCTCTGCACGCGCACCCGTGGTTGCTGGGGCTATTAGCGCCGCAGCAGCGTCACAACCCCGGATTCTGAACAGCGACAGCGACAACACTGAATTATGGGATGTACACGTTCTCATGCGCCACCGAGGTGTTCGAAAGGGAAGCTGGCGCAGCAGGCGGGAGGGATGCAGGTCGCGAGGAGGTGATCTGTCGTGTGCTGGGTTCAGGGAGGCTCCGTGCGACGTCAGGGCGATACGGCACTGCAAGCACTTGCAGAGCACAACAGCGGTTGACCGGGAATGGCGAAGAGAAGTCGGATAGACGTCGTAGACGGTTATATCGATGGTAGGGTTGGGGTTGATGGGGGGGAGTATGTTTCTTGAGGAAGCGGAGACGTTCGCTGGACAGACAGCGCCTTGTCCTCCTCGTCGATGGGCTGGCCTGGCTTGAGCGACGCTGACTGGCTGGTCCTCCGAGCGGACTAAGCGACGTGATATGTTTGATTCTCGACGATCAACGGTGAAACGCACCACTAACAGTCGATTTTGCTCAAGTATTATTGTTCGACTCTGATTATCACATATTAAAGTACAACTGGAATGGGTGAATGAGCGCGATCATCACATTCCATCTGTTGTCGTGGAAGGGTGAATTCGACACGTGATCTGTATACCAAGAGGGTAAAGCGGCAGTCCCGGTAATGGAAGGGTGACGCTCGGCAAAAGCCGTCGCATCGTAGCAGCAAAGAGTGGACCGATGGCCATCTGAGCTCTTGAAAACATCTCGCATTTGCCCGCCATCAGTTGCTTTCTTTGAAGCTTTTGAGTGTTTTGTCCTCTCACAATGCCTGTACCGGTCGGTTCTATGCCCGGAGGTGGTGCCCATGGTCCCTCCACTTTGGATAAACGTTCGTCATTCCCCAATCCATTAATTTATCTTCCCCGCGTGCGGTGGCTAACATCTTGCAGTGAAGATGGGTGGTATGATGGGTGGATGTACGTCCTCGACTCTTGACAAGTACAGCTTTGAAGTGAATTTCTGACATTGACCAGCCGTCGGATTGATCATTGGCTTCATCTTCGGTATGTTACGCCTGGGCCGATTGCATGCCGCAATCTAACAGAACCCAGGATTCACAAACATCGTTCGCTACGGGCCAGGTCCCAACGGTATGCTCCGAACATTGGGCCAGTACATGATGGGCTCCGCAGCAACCTTCGGGTAAGCATTGAATAATCGGGACCTGCGCGGAAGCTTCGCCGACTGACCGCAACAGCTTCTTCATGGCCATTGGCACAACTATCCGGACAGACAGCTCCTCTATCGCCAACGAGGCGTTCGCGAAGGCCTACCGACGCCCAATGGTGCTTCCCCGGAACTACCAATTCCCACGTACATCTCGCGACGAGTAAAGGAAGAGCGAGGAAATGGAAAATGCATATACGAGATGACGATCAGACATTTGTACAATAGTGTATTGACACTGGCTTTATTCACTTGCGAGGCTAGCAACTTGTACATATAGAATACGCGGTCTGCTGAAACCGTGGTAAAATGTTTTGAGTCTGGCTTTAAATGGCCTTTGACCAATATTTCTTCCTTATGGATATGTCTAAGATCAGTCTGCTCATTGCTACCGCTCGTCTGTTCAATGCATATTGTGAGGCTAGAGGGAGACATAATTTGGCCACCATTGTTCTGGAATAATGCGGGTTGCTCTTCTCTTGTTGCATCGCGCAAGGATGGTCTCAACGTCTGTCGTACGATCTGTAAATCGAGTCCTCGTCAATCACTGAATCGAACATGAGCAGGAAATACATGGTGACTCACGAAGCCTGTGCTAGCATTGTATGGGACATTTGGAGAGCATGCAAATTATCTTCGTATGTATCTTGTAGGCTCACAATCACGGCTGATTCCAAGTGCAAATTGCGGCAATTGAAACACTCAAACTGATTGTTTCTGTGCGAAATGTTTTGTAACTTGTTCAAAACATACATAGAACGCCTAACAAGCAGATGCCTGTTGCTGCTGTGCAGCGCTACCTTGTGCATCACGGAGTGTGGAGATGCCCCACAGCCCCAGGATTCCACGACATTATACGCATAGTCCGGATCCTGCATCAGTGTTCCGTTTAGCGTTCAAGGATTGCACATGTATAAGAAGTACATAGCAAAACGCAAGCAGCATTCAACATCTGCATTATCACTACATGAGGAGTGAAGGTATATACTATTGAGGAAGCACTAGGAAAATAAGCTATGCATCACTGGCTCAGACCGTCATACACAGCCTTCTCAGCAGCAACCCAAGCAGGAACGACCTTAGGATCACCGAACGGCAATACCTGGCTCGCAATGACGCCAGTAACGCCCCTCTCCCTATCAACCCAGTAGTACAAATTAGCGATTCCCGCCCACCAGGCGGTATTAGCACCTCGTCCAGTCGCGCCAGGCGCGATGGTCAAAAACCAACTCAATCCCCAACCCTGTGGAGGATTGCCCTCCTGGGGATACATCTCCGGGGCTGCATTCGCGAGCTCTGGTTTCGGGGGTGGGGGAGCTCCTCGGGCGAAATTGGGGTGCTCGGGGATCTGGTTTTCAAACATCTGGTCGACGGTGGAGGAGGAGAGGATCTTGGTGCCTGTCGTTGGGCATGTGCCGTTGTTTAGAAGCGTGGCGAGCAGCTTGATGTACTCCTTTGGCTTTGCGAACAGACCGGCACCGCCGGAGTGGAAGAAGCCGTCTTGTTCTTCCTTGGTGTGCTGGAAGAAGGCACGGGTGAAGGCGTGGTCGCGCTCGACGAGATTGCCGCTGCTTGGGTCTCTTTGGTGGAAGTACGCGAGGTTCTTCTGCATCTCTTGGGTTGGGAACATGGTCACGGAATTGATGCCGAGAGGCTCGAAGATGTTTTTCTGAAAGTAGTCGTTCAACTTCGTGCCAGTCGCACGCTCGAGTACGAGTCCTGCCCAGTCGACGTTGACCTTGCAATCAATTAGCGTTAGCTATGTGCAATTGGGCGGTAATGAACAGGATCTACTTACTCCGTACTCCCACCTGGAGCCCGGCTGGTTGACTAACGGCGACGCCTTAATGGCATTGACATCTCCAGTGAATTCGTCAATACCCACAGGTCGGCCAATGGCCGTGATCCGCGGATCTAAGAAGGAGTATCCGAAACCAGCGGTATGTGCCAACAGCATGCGTAGAGTTACTGGATTCTTTTGGTCCTGTGGTGTGGCTCCGTCTTCGTAGACCTTCTTCTCTCCGATTTCTGGCGCATACTTCTTAATGACTTCTGGGTCGTCCAAGCTGAGCTTGCCTTGTTCCACAAGCTGAAGGCAAGACACAGTGGTCACAATCTTGGTCATTGATGCAATCCAGAAAGAAGTATCCAGATCGATGGGATCCTTGGAATTGACGCCTTTTGTGCCTGCAGCATGTTCGACGAGAGTCTTGCCAGACTTGTCCACGGCAAGGAATACTAGGCCGGGAGAGCCACTTGAGCCCTCGGATGTTACACCATTGAGAATGGACTTGATAGTCTCTACACTCTGCGATGAGAGAGACATAGTGTTGAATGCCAGCCTTTGTTTGCGACGGCTATGAATCGGAATTCAATATAGAAAGTAAAATGTAGCAGTGTTTCGCTTTTGTGAACAAAGTAGGAGAATGCGCTGTACATACTAATGCAAGTGGGTTACATTTATACCAGCTCCGGAAGAGCACGCAACACAGCTCCTCGGTAGAAACGCATTGTAAATGGCCGCGTACCGTACTAAAGTCCATAATTGGATCTACTACGGGTTTGGATTAGAAAACATGCAAACCTTGGCAGCCATTCCATAAGACGGGGGCATTGCGGCGATGTGAGACTCTGTTTTGTCGACTCGGAAGCATTCACATCAGCTCAACCACACATAGCATACAACCACAACAGTCAGAAATGAAACATGGGCTCAGGCATTCACAGGACCCTCAACAACTTAGAACATTGGCAACTCGGATTCTTGCTGTTTTGATGTTACAAAAGTGCTTTGACAGAGCATATTGGGGCTAAGACTGCCGTAGACTGCTATCCGGTATGTTGCCATTGCTTTACCCCGCGCACTCGGGTGGGGCAGAGAAACAATCTCCAATCCCCTTTGAGCCCTTCCTCCGTGAATAGTCATCTTGAACGACCATATCTCTTACAATAGCTAAACAGTTGCGGATAATCGCACACGATGTTTTTGGGGTAGCCATGTGTAAGAACTAATCGTAAGCGCTATGGCTGATTTTTAATCCATAAACGAGCATTGAACCAAGGGCCTAACCTGTCAATCATGACTGCAGCTATGCTCAGGGGCCTAAATTCTGAGGCCACGCGCTGATTCTCTTGGATAGACGTGCACATACCTTGCACAATCCAATGGAGCACCCTTTTTTTGGGCACTTTTACAGCAAAATACCACTAGCGTCTTGCTGTTGTTTGATCAGCTCCGCTTTAGTAGACTTTTGATTTCCTTCAGGCCTGCCATGAGCAGTGGGACAGCAACGGGACCAAGGAGCGGTAGATAAACGGCAACCTTATGCTCGTCTGGGAAGTAGACCTGACCAACCATAGAGCGCTCAAAGAACGCCTTTTCTGCCTCAGCTTCAGCTATCCTGGCATGTTCGAGTGCACCTTGGAAGCGACCTTCGTGGAGGTGGTTGCATGCTTCCTGGAGATGTTTTGTAGTCGAATCGATCGATTGAGCCACAGCGTCTGGAATTGGAATTGAAGGAAGCGCATTGGTGAGACGTGCCAAAGCCCCCATCGTAGAGGATGCAGAGAAGAAGAGCGACGCAAGACGAACGCGTTTCAGGGTCGACAATTTGAGTGGAAGAGATTCGGGGGTTTGAGGCAGGCCCAAGAGCGATAATAGTTGATTTGAGAAAGCATGCATGGCAGGAGCGAGAGCGTCCTCGGTCAGAATCGTTGACGCCTGTTTTCCCTCGTCCTGCAACGGGGGATTCAAGATAACCACGCCACCCCACTGTGGAATCAACCAACTATTTCCACCATTCTCCTTGATCAAGAGTGGGGACTGATCCTGCCCAGGCACATAGAGGACAAAATTTACAGTAGGACCGGTGCCGATGCTGGGGCTCAAAGGCCATTCCGCGGCATTGATGAAGCCGCTGAGATCCTCTTTGCGAAGCGTCCAAGCATTCAAGCTTTCATCGTGTTCGGGTCGATGTATAGAGGGGGAGAACTCTGCATATAGCTGAACTTGGGTGTCTACTGTGAAATTACTGATGGCTGAGAATGACTCCAGTAGAGGTGAAACATAGTGCTTAAGTACAGACTCGATCTCCCACCCCGATGGTGTAGCAGTGGGACTAAATAGCGAAAACGTCAAGTGGTAGGTCGATGCATACTTCAATGCGCGCGTAAACTGACGCTCAATCTCTGCTGTCTTCTCGGCAGATAGGGTCTTCGTCTTTGGTTTTGTCTTCCCAGAATAGGCAGTGCTGGTAGTAGAGAGCAAGTATGATAGCAGCGCTTGTTCTTCCTCGAAAATCTTATGCAACTCCTGAGCAATGAAGCTTGCTAGCGGCGACCCTGTGGATGAGGGCGTGGGGATCTGATTAGGGGTGTAGTAGACATCCAATGTTGGTGCATACGGCTGCAAATGAGCACGAGGCGTCGTGCCAGTTTCCACAGGAATCAATCGCACAGCCAACGCGATATCCTCGTCATCTGTAGTCACCCTTGTTCCATCACTGACCACTTCTTGGGATGCATTGGCCGAGTTGTGCGATTCGGCTAGTATCAGACGAAGGTGATGCGCCGAAAATTCATTCAAATCGTCGATGGCATGCTGAGTCGTTCGAAGCAGGTTATGCGCGTCTTGTAGAGGGAGTGAAGCTTCGACCGCAACGCGCAGGGGAAAGACTGGTTTGCAAACCTGGGAAGAGTTAAATTAAGTTCTGAATGGTGATATGGTGCAAGGCTTCTGCTTCTGCTTCAAGCTTACCTTATCGTCAGCCCAGTCTGTCATATCCTGCAGTGGCAGTTCTGCTCGGTAGATAGCTGTGGTTTTCCACCATACTGGAAGACCTAGAAGCAACACAACGAGCCAAAAGGAGAGCACTACAAGTCGTCGAACCCAAATGCTTTCTTTCGTCTCCGGAGGGGGCTGTCTGGTAGAGCTCTGTGCATTGGAATCTGAGGTAGCGCCAGCAGCCGACGAAGTTGTGGAGCTGGACTGTGATGTCACAGGCGCGCTGGCGCCTTCTGCAAGTGGCATCTTGCGATGTTGTTGGTGATCTGTCTGGCTGGGACTTGGAGTTGAGAGGCGTGGACGACGACCAATCGGAGTTTGCGATCTTATGACTAAGCCACAATAGTCTCCCCCGGATCAGCCCTACGCGGTATCATCAAACTCGACCTCCTCCCTTGAACATCTATCGTAGTATCATGGAACATTTTCCAATCTATTTAGATTGGGTTTATCTTACCTTCTTGCGAACCAAAAATAACTTATTGGTTATCTTTTGGCAAGTCCTACAACCCGTGCAGACTCCGAATCTTGAACAAGTGGAAACGACCCCTTCCTCTGAGGCCTGCAACCACAGTTCGATCATGCTTGCTCCTTACATACGTGTTTCAAACCTCCTTCCAGAAAGATAGTTGACTTGTCAATTGTGGGCTTCATTTCTTTCCTTCCGATACTGTCGCTAATGGCAACACGGGTAAAATTCGCCTGCAGGTGATCTGATCAAAGTAAAAGTATAGACAAAGCATACCATTCATCTAGCCCCTATTATCCTAAAAATCAATAAAAGAAGAGATGAAAATTGACCCTGGCGTTTCCAAAGACAGACTTCCTCGATCTATCGTCTTTCTGATCTCATAGACCGTCACAGCATTCACGACTCCAGCGCTTCACATACGATTACGCTTCATCTCACACTATGGAAATCTACTCCTTTGATTACAATCTGACAAGCTCTGATATCAATAGATACTGATTGAAGCAGGATTTGACAAGGCAGATCGCTCTGACCAGCTCAAGCTGAGAAGCTTGCCATAACCACGATTTCCTTATTAAATCTACTGAGCTATGAAAAGAGGTTGTGGAATAGGCAAAGATAGGGCTTCTAGACGCTACATCTTACTACCAACAGTGCCAGGCACTCAGGTGCGTATATCCTACTAGTAAGATCACAAGGGTCTGAGCCTCCTCGATCGAACTTTGAGTGTAGTAGAGTCTGGGCTCGACAAGTCCAGGACATCACAACGGTACTGCATTACATATCTTACAGTCTAGATCAACATGTGGTTGGGGCCCCACACGATATGCAACAGATTGTGGGGAGCAACCTAGGTCATTCATATCCGTCAGCCTCATATTGCTCTTTTTGTGGAGGCACCACGTATAATGATATCAGAGACTCCCTTCTCTCTGCTTCTATTTTTGAGCCCTTTGAATCCAAACCTACAGGCTAATCAACGGTGAGATGTATACATGCCCGAGCATTCACATGTAGACTGCGATAGATTTAGCAAACTGACCCAGACACGCGGTGCCCTACTACTCGCTTAACCTCACACAATTTACATTCACCTCTCAGATGCCACCTTCCTTGAACAAATGCCAGGATCTATTGCAATCTGAGGTTGGTTTTCGTGAAAGCCAGGCATGTGGCTGCCATCCGGCTATTCATTCCCCCATCAAATATTGACCCATCAATTCTATACGCATTCACTATACGGTTAAATTCAGCGTGCCACTCACGCAACACCAATTCAGTATTACACGTTCGGACCTAGGATTCCAGAAAAGGTCGCCACACTGCGGCGGAATGTCCGAATCTTGAATGCAAAAGCATACTCCACGATGTCGAACGCTTCGTACGCAATCAAATGCTTCGTTCTAGCTAAGATTCCATGTCCGCTTTTGTACCGCCACATAACCTCCTTCCGACCCGGGTTGGACTGCAACTAGTCACGCGAGGTTGCGAACACGACCTGGATCGCTTCTAGTATATCGTGCACATCTGCTTGTATATCGCAACCTCAGTCCTGCCGACCCGGAATGGAGGGCTAATGCCAGATTGCTCCTTGGCGCTTTGTCGCTGTACTAATAAGTTTACCTTGCCTCCCCCAGAATTTTCAACGGTGACAAGATTACTTCCAACTTGTACAAACCCTTGATATACTACGTCTTCTTCCAACGTAGCGGATTGATTGCTCATTACGGTATCACTTCTTAAGTATCATTACGAGGCGTAGAACATTTCACGATGCGCCTCACCTTCGGACTTACGTGGGTGGCAGCTCTGGTTGGCTCCAGTGAGTGCATGATCAGCTGTGGTTCAGTAAAAGCTTCTTGCTGATTCAATCTCCAGCCCTTGGCAGGCCGGCAGCTCAGGAAGACTCAGCTGTGTCTTATGTCGACGCTGAGACTGGCTTCACCTTCTCTGAGTACAAGGTGGCGTACTCGCTCTCGGGTAACGTTGTGTTCCGTGTGGCCACTCCTGCCGCTGCAGTCCAAGGCCAGCCTTTCGACATCGTTCTGCAGATTGTCTCCCCGACCTCCGGAGGTTGGGCCGCTGTAGCTTGGGGTGGCAGCATGGTGAAGAACCCCATCACCATGGGCTGGGCTAATGGCCAATCGACTGTAGTCTCATCTCGTTGGGCATCGTAAGAAATCCTTCATGAACCTGCGCATCTGTGGATATATACTGACTCAGATGACAGTGGTCGCACACTCCCGGGCGCCTACACTGGAGCAACCTACACCAAACTCAGCAACGGCAACAAAGTAAACGGCACTCACTGGCAATTGACCGTCAAGTGCACCGGCTGCTCCGCCTGGGACAACATCCGATTGAACCCCAAAGGCAGCAACAGACTCGCCTTGGGCTATGCAAATGCCAAAGTGTCCCAGCCATCCAGCAACACATCCTCTTTCGGCATTCATGACGTGCACCCTTACTGGACGCAAGACTTCACTCAGGGTGCCAACCCCAACTGGGACGCACTTCTGGTCAGAAACGGCGTTGCATGAGATGATTCCTTAGAGCGGCCCAGGGACTTTTCCCACCGTAAGGCTGTGATTCCAGGAGCGCGGGAGGCCAGACAAAGGTGTGATACCTTATCATGTTCATAGTACTATCTATAGATTACGCATATTCAAGTCACCAATGGAGTTTCATTCTTTCAAAGATTCGAGTGCACAAGATCTCGTTCCTGGCCCCTTCGGCGCATTCGTGGCGGCACGTTTTCTCCTTCCCCATAATTCTCGCCAGTCCTTCCAGATGAGTAGACTGAGATCGATGCGAAAAGTGTCATTTTGGAACACCGAAACTTCGTATCGCGAGATCGAAAGACGGGATTTTCCAATACTTTATGATGTAAACAGCAACCGGCTAAAGCATTTCACCGTGCCCACGTGGTAGTTTAAAGGAAGTTCCACCACGTGTACCAAAAAAAAGTGTGCAAGTCCAGAACCTGGAAATTCATATCATCTCAAATGACGCAGTGTATGAACTAACAAATCTGCCAAAAGTCACAAAGATTAGCAGAATCGTTTCTTGAAGAGATTTTCGAAGAACAAGCGAAGTGTAATTTAGGTCTCAGTAAATAAAAAAGTACACATGGCTCTTTCAACCAATCGGAGGAAAAACTTTATATGCAAGAGATAGGGTTCGCATAAAGAGCGTCTAAGAAAGAGAAAAGAATTCGCCGCTGCAGTATCCACAGCCGCCACCTCCGCCGCCGCCAGCGAGGCGATACCCGTCTGTTCCTTGCAGGCCAGGGATCTCTTGGGGGAGGAATATAGCCTGAAGCCAAGCGAAAGCGTGGCCATCTTAGCGATAGCAAGGGTATTACTATACGTTGCGGCTGCTGGTAATGCGGGGAACACTCTATGCCTTGATTGCCTTCTCGCCAACGGGCATCTCCTTGAGCCCTGTAAAGTGGTGTTAGTATATATGTGGGGAGCATGGGGGTGGGACCAGGGGTCCTTACAGCCATCAACGTCCTCAACGGCCTGTTGCTTCTTCTTGCAAGCGTTGTACTGGGCAGGCTGCTGGGCGGTGAGACCTGCGGCAGGGCAGGCCTTGTTAAGGTCGCAGTTCTTGTCCATAGCCAACTGGAGAGAGTCTCCCTCCCAGCCGAAGACGTAGTCACCGTGGGCAGCAGGACCGCTGGATATTTCAGTCAGTGGTTGGTGGACTCGATCATTCGTTGCTTTCACTTACCCAAGGTTCATGCTGTAGACAAATGGCTTGGAGCCATCAGAGGGCCATTGGCTCTGGTCGGCAAAGGTAGTAACGTTCCACATGAGCTCGTACCTAGGTTAGAACCATTAGTATATGCATGCAATTACAACCTTTATTGAGGCAATGTAGATGCACTTACATGACCTGAGGAACCTTGACGGGGTGAGAAGACGGGCAAGCACCACCGCCAGTGGCACCGGAGCCCTGGCCGTAGGCAACGTGGCTCTGGTGGTCGGGAGAGTCGAGGTTCTTGCCGTCCCAGCAGCTGTAGAGAATGTTAGCAAACAGGTCTATAATCTATCAGGGTCTTCTTACTTGGGGAAGATGATAGTTTGACGGATCATCTTGCAGGATGTGCTTGATGGGATGTCGACAGTGTCGGATCCGGAGCAAGGTTGAGCACCGACAAATGTACCCTCATTTGGCGATGTCCAGCAACGATGGCAGATATCACCCTTCCTGACCTTGCTGCCGTCTGTGTTGGTGGCAACACCAGCAAGCATACGGAAGCCCTTAATGATGTTAGAAAATTATCTCCTAACTGAATCTTGAAACACATACCTTCTTGAAGGCGGTCACCTTTCCGCTCTTCATGTAGTAAACATCAAGACCACCGTCGTTGATGAGCTTTCCCTGTGGTCCTCCATTTCCGACCTGTGGAACGCGGATGTAACTTCCGTTCCTGTGCTTGAAGAACATGACTGCAGTCCAGTAGTTTGACTTGTCCTGGGTAAAGCTGCAAGATGTGCACTTGGAGGTTTTGGCGTAGTCGACGGACGGGTCCATGGTAACGTTGAAGGCGTCACCTCCGACGATCTGATGAAGATGAGGAGTATACTTCATCCCGGGATTGACCAAGGGATCCGTTCGTTCAACGACAAGCTGCGAGCAGGCGAATCGAAGCATCTGACCCTGAGCAGCAACATTCTGCGCGAAGAGCGCCGCGGCGGCGAGAGTAGCCCACTGCATCATGACTAGCGATTGTGGTGTTGTCCTGAACCTCGATGGGTGAAAGCAACAGGTAGGTTAGATTCGAATAGCAATGAACGGAGACGCAGAACCAAAATCACAGGGACATGTATCGTGGGATCCTTATATCAGAGCGATACGCGCCCAGTCGCCACACGGCATGGGTAACTGCCGGTTGTGCAGAAAATGAGTCCATGACTTTCTGAAATATGGGGTTAATATAAAATATATGGTGATTGGGCAGAGCCACTTCGCGTTGATATTAATTCCACCACTGCATCCAGAAAATAGCCCCCTCCGAAATCTGGATCACTTATTCGAGTACCACTGTAGAGTGTTTGGCGCTCACGGCGCATCGATGTTGGCGCCTGTGAATCTTGATTCCGGAATTCCGGGTGCAGCTTCTTGATATGCTACCTGTAATCTTTCGTGAAAAGAGTTCGGTGAAGTGGTGCCGGCCCAAGAGGGCGACAAGGTACTTGGCAGAAGGAGTCAAGGCCGGTGGTTCTATGATGGTCCATGAACGTCGTCATGCGAGTATGCGCTACGCTCCCATAGCTGCTGAAGTTTGATTATCTACAACGACGGCAAGACATTCCGAGGGAGGTTTGCAATAGAAGAAGTTGCACGAGAATACAAAGCACTCAAGAACATCGTGAAGGGAAGTCAAAGGAGCGTTCCTGGCACCCACAAGGACTCCTGTAGAGTGACTGAATGGCGCAGAGCACGATGCTGCAGACGTACGGCAAAGCCAATACCCAAACCATAGGGACATGTCATTCGCCCATGTTTAACTCGAGGCCTTACAGTTCTGGATACTATCAATGAATGGTTCCTGTCGTAGGCCTGCAATCTCTCATTGTCACAGCACTCGGCTGACACCGTCCATGGATCAACAACCAAAGAGCAGGAAAGCACTCTATTCACGGGCCACAAAGGGGATGAGAGTCTCAGAAAGGAAAGATCTGAGCATCCAGTTGAGATGCAGAAACTTGCGGGGGCTCACTCGAGGGTCGACCGTTCACACGTCACCCGTCCGCACCGTTATAGAAGGGTGGCCCGAATGTGGATTTCTTTTTAGCGAACAGAATTGCTTAAAAGGGCGGTAGATGCATGATGACTCGATTGCAATTTACCATGAGAATCCGTGAAGCAATTTGGGGGCCTTGACTGGGACCTGCTTTCCGCGATGTCCGCTGGTTGTACTTGTTGCTACCGCACAGGTTGAGTTTCTGGAACGTCTCGTGATGCCTGCCGAGTTCTAGGCTTGAAGAACAACCACGGAAGGAATTTTCGAAGGTTCACGCGCAAATCTTGCAGGAGTGCTCAAGGGTTGACGTTGGTGACAGGTACATGATGTCTTTCGGAGCAGGCACACGGACAGGCATTGCTCCTCTTAGCAGCTGCGGCTTGCTCCGTAGCGCTCCACACCTTCCCTCAATACCATCACTTTCCCTAACCCTGCAACACCAAGCCCTCTTCCATCAAAATGCCATCAAAAACGACGGATGGAAAACACCCTGATATCGACTTCGATTGGTCACCGCCCCAATGGAAGCAGTTCAGGCAGATGCAAAAACATTAGCCGGTCACGATGATCTTCAATCAATAACTGCCCTGATCCATGCACGTTCACCCTGGCCAATCTAGCCGGCAAAACGCTCATCAACCGATTTCACCCCACGGGGTCATATGCGCGATGGTTGACCACGCATATGGACAAATTTGCCGAACCTTATTGTCACACTCCGGATGCGGCTCATGTACCCTTCGCTATCTATTGCATGTACCTCGAGTTGCTTCACTGCGGAGAGTGCATGCGTGAGAGAACAAATGTCTAGAACAGGACTGCTGAAAAATACATAGATATGAGACGGAGGCACGTCGTACCTGGAATCAGAGCCTGACACTACGTCAATCTTCTCGGATTCTTTCTATCTGATTCTACTACGTGCCAATGAGCATGTGCTGCGTGCCCTGATGAAAGCTTGGCGAAACGATGCCCAAAGATGTTCTATGAAAACAAATGGCTGAGTAAGCCAGTAAAAGCTCGGCAGTTGGCCATGAGAAAGGAGATAGGGGTATTGAGATGAAAGGCTATGAAAATTCGCCTGATGTTGGTATGATGAATGACGAAAGGACGAAATCGAACCCTTTCACCATGCTATGCGAGCAAAGAATCCCTTGGGCCAAGTCCTGACAGCGTACTTCCTGGCCTCGTCGAGAATCAATAGTCCAAGACCGAATGCTGCGGGCAGGAACCAATACTCAACCGGCACTTGAGTAGTAAGAATGGACTTCTGGAGCGAAGGTATATAGCAGACTGCGGTGGCTATCAGTAAACGCCACAACACGATTATATATCTTCGATTTACGAATGGCAATCATTCACTTACAGATAAAGACGATGACAATGGCAAACAGCATCGCCGGGAACAAAAGAAGGTTCTGTGTTTCCTTGTTGAAAATCGGAGGTTGCTGGAACAGCGACAAGCGACGAGTCCTTGTGGCAAGAAGATTGAACAGTTGCCTAGCACCAATGCATTAGTATCAAGGGCCTTCATCTCTCCCCTGGCTAACATTCGACTTACATGATGACCAATGTAACAAAGTAAATAGATGAGGCTTCATTCGCAACAGCACTGACATAGTCAGGGTCGTACTGGGGATCCAACTGTCCGAACTTGAGCCACTGAGCAGCGAACGGTACGCCTCGTCTTTCCATGTACCAGAACGCCATCGCGAAGGATAGAATGCATTGAAACATGCCGACGAGGAAGTAGGCGTGGAAGATGAGCCTAGCATTGACGAGACGGTCCTTCTTGATGTTGCGCGGCGGTCGAAGCATGAGGTCGGCCTCAGGCTTTTCGTAGGCGAGGGTGATAGCGGCGGCACAATCTGTGAAACAGCAAATGATGATCATAAGGAATGAGGAAAGGATCTAAAGGTTTGTCAGCGAAGTGACGACTGTCGGGAGGCATGGAAGACTTACCTGAGGGATACCGAAGGCAACGTTGGTGATGACAGGCCAAAGCTCGGAGAAAGAACCAGCAGGAAGAAGGTAAACGATGGTCTTCTTCAGGTTGTCGTAGACCAGACGTCCATATTGGACAGCCTGAACAATGGCTGCGAAGGAGTCAAGAAGGACCATGTCGGCTGCTTCGATGGCGATATCCGAACCGCTGCCCATGGCGATACCAATGTCAGCTGCCTTGAGAGATGGTGCATCATTGACGCCATCACCAGTCATGCCGACAACGTTATCGCGCGCCTGGAACTCCTTGACAATTCGAAGCTTCTGCTCTGGTGTCGTGCGAGCAAAGACGATTTCTTCGTATTGGCACAGTTGATCCCATTGGTTTTCATTGAGCTATGTCGGTCGTTAGTCCAGCATTTGTTGGATTTTTGTGGGCAACTTACCGTGATCAGTTCGGGACCGCTTAGAACAATCGAGCGCCGAGTGAACCCATGTTTGACTTCTCGAGCAAGAGCCGTGACGTCGTCAATCATTGAAACATTGGATATAATACCACACTCTTCAGCAATTGCCTGCGCCGTGAGCTTGAAGTCACCAGTAACCATGAAAATTCGAATGGAGGCGTTGCGAAGGATTCTGACAACCTCTGGGATCTCATCGCGAGGAGGATCGACGATACCGACCATGCCGACAAAAGTCAGACCCTCTCGAGCAGCGACAAGGACTTCCTTCTCGTGGTTGGCAGAGAATGGAGCCATTGTGCTCTTGCGTGCCATCAGAATGACTCGTTTACCTTGTCTAGACCAAGTATCCTTGACATCTTCGATCCGTCTTGTCTGGGCTTCGGTCAAGGGGATGACCTCGCCTTTATCACCAAGAACGGTATTACAACGTGGCAGGAGAATGTCCGGTGCTCCCTTAATCATCAGGGTAGTCGCATTGTTCGAAGCGGCTTGGCTGGTGGGTGTCATCAACCTGATCATGAACTTGTTCTTGCTGTTGAATGCCATCTCGAACACCTTCTTCCAATTCTGGCGAAGCTCAGCCACGGAACCAAGGCTTTCGGACAAACGAAGGACAGCCTGATCCGTGGCGTCGCCATTGATCTTACGCTCGTGGATCGGCATGTGCATTGTTGAAGCGTCGAACTCGCCTGAGTTGCAGAGGCCACTGAGTATGCGGATCTGATCAATGATATCCTCGCGTTTCCTAGCAGGCGTCTTCAGGTTTTGTTCCGAGCGAAGGACAGCCATCATGTCACGGGCAGCCTCGGGGGTGTACTCTTCGCCAGCAGCGTAGATATCCGTTACAACCATACTGTTCTACGGAACGTCAGTGGTATCCGACTAGAGTCATGAATTCCCAACATACCTTGGTCAAAGTACCTGTCTTATCCGAGCAGATGACAGAAACAGCACCCAGTGTCTCCACAGTCTTCAAAGATTTGCAAAGGATCTTGTTCTTCCTCATGATGTTTGCGACGATGGTAAGACTCGTGGTGAGCGCGATGGGGAGGCCTTCTGGGATGAATGCGACTGCTGCACTCACGCAACTGACGATGAGAAGTGGGACGTCGATCCATCCTGGGTGATCCTTTCGAAGCCATGCTGCCCTTTAACATCCTGTTAGCCAATACTACATTCCTTGTCTTGTCAAGTTGGACTTACCAGAGGATGATGATGAGGATGATGACGGTGGTGATGAAGATCGAGATGATGAGCACGAATCTGAGGATTTCGTTCTGCAAAGGTGTCCTGCCAGTCTTTGGCTCACTCGTCAACTCTGCGATGCGACCGAAGACAGTCTTGTCGCCAATGGCAACGCAAACACCGAGGCAGCTGCCCGAAATGCAGTGGGTGCCTTGCATTCCAATGTTATGTGTCTCGAGGTAGTTATCTTCGGTAGCATCGACGGCTGCTGGGCAGGGCTCAGATTCACCTAGCTAATGTCAGACGTCATCTCCAAGGAGAGAAACATATACATACCTGTGAGGATAGCGCGGTCAAACATGGCATCGCTGGATACCTCGACGAAACGAACATCGGCAGGGAGTTTGTTGCCTTGCTTGATGACGATGATGTCGCCAGGAACAAGATCAATAGCCGAGATGCTGGTCTGGTTGCCGTTGCGGATGACAAGGCAGGCATCAGGAAGCATCGTACCGATCTGTGTATCATCCCAATAAGCTGGAGTCTAGGTAAGAGCATCAAAGGGACATGCAACGACTTACCGAAGCCATAACACGCGACGAGGACCAATCCTGCCATGCATTGAATGCAGCCTGAATGACGAACACGGCGAGCAAGACACAAGCAAGAGCCAAATTGGCCACGGCGGGTGGATTTCCAAGCGGTTTCCATGCGATGAAGACTAGGATACTCGCGACGAGAAGGATGGAGCCAAAGCCGCCAAAGAAGTATCCAAACAGACGACTAGCAAGGCCGGATGGCGGAGGGGTCATCTTGTTCTTGCCATACTCCCCAACACGGCGCTTGATCTGTTCTTCGGACAAACCATGGCGCGTGTCAACAGAGAGACGACGGCAAATCTCGTCAGTGGTGATTGTGTGCCACTCGAGCCCGGCGAGATCGACGGTGCCCTTCTCCTTGACCTTCTTGACAGCTTCCTGTTGGCGATGAAGGTTTTCATCGACCTCTATGGATAAAGTGCGATAGGTGATGGGAAGTGCAGTCTCGGGCTGTACGGTTCTGCTTTGGCTGTGCATCGAGATACCAGAGGCCACACTCGATGCTCGAGAGTGACGCCTTGCATGGGCACCACCTCCTTCGCGGTTTGCTTGTCGACCGACGCGACCATCCTCTTCATCGCCGAAGCGAATGCGAGGCGTGGGTTTACCCTCCTTGTCCATATATCGTCGCGCACAAAGAGCCACTGAAAATGGGATATAGGAACGGAGGCGCACAAGAAGTGGCAAGAAGAGACGACGAGAGGAGCGAAAGAGACAAACAAAGTAGAATTGTGAGACTTTCGAAACTCGAAGATGACATGGGGGCTTTATATCTATGCAACAACACGGGTAATGATTTACTACTACTACAACCTCGACTATGCTAGAGTGTGGCTCTCTGGATCTCGTTTCACTCTGTGGATACCTTCCGGACGACAGGGCAAATCGGAATTGCGTTCTGAGCCATGCTACATTTCCCAATTCAGATAAGAAAGAAAAATCCTTTACAATGTGGACGTAATGGAATAACCGCGCCTATGGCGGTGGTAATGTGTGGGTGCCAGTACGTATCCGCACACAGCAAGACTGGTAGAACTAGAGGGCACATCGAGTAACTGGTGCTGCGGTAGGTAGCTATGGACTATCACGACCAGCCATCACGGGTATCAAAGCGATAGGATGGAAAATGCCTCAATGTAAAGTCGCCTACGACGTTATGGCAGAGTGCTGGCCCACATTACGAAGCACGCATCATGGTAATCATTCGGTGGCCGACACGAAGCAGGAAAAAAAACGATGAGCGCAGCAGGTAGCAGGTGTTCTTTCATGTGAGGAGCAATCTCCGACCCAAAGCAGGAGTTGTTCTTGGAAGGACAATCCAACTGATGATGGTTAGCGATGAGGGATATATCGTCGAGGCAGTGCATTTCTGGTCTGTGCTCACTCTGTTGCTCTAGCACTCTCTCTGGTTCCTCTTCCATCTCGTGGTCGCTTGCAGATCTTGGGTTGGGGCAGAAGGGGAATCGACCAATCACGGCTCGCCAAATCTTACACAGTACATGTACACATCGACATAACCAAAAACCCCACCCAAACTATCCCAACTATGTACTCGTCACATCAGAGTCAAGTTAACTACTCGCCATTGTACCGGTAATTAACTAGTCGAAACTCCTGAAATTCTCCGTCCTCAAGGTTTCCCGTTCCATACCTTACACAGTACATGCTGTTGTCCATTATCCAGTCTTGGGAATTGAGAGCGCGCTTCTGGGCAGAATCTTCCACCCGCACACCAGAGCAAACGACTAACCCGACCTCCACCATCAACCACCCCTTTCACCAAGTATCAATCGAATTTTTCAGATTCAACCGACACCATACCATTGCTCAAGAATACATCGAAAACGACAACATGATGCAAATCCACATCAAAAAGTTGCACGTCACATTAAGCTTCAATTAAGCGAGTGCGGGAAACGTGCACACCGGCCACCGCTAAAAGGCCTTGGTAACAATACATGACCAAACAGAGGGCCCCAAGTTCACATTTCAAGATGCAAGCGTCTGAGCGTGGGCCACTGGGGACCCTTTTGTCCTTGAATCCCAGGGGTCCCTACGGCATCTACTGCCCCTACCCTGTGTCCTCCTGCACTATCCAGGTATCCTGCACACCCTCACACCCATTTCCCGCTGTCTGGTAGAATAGTCTATCTGGTTACTTGGACGATGAGGAGTGAGATCCAGAAGGACGTACAGTACATTTTCTGGTGGGGTTGCAAGATACTCCTACCTGTAGCTTGGGCAAGGCATGAGGGATGCTTGCGTCGTGGGACCGCGTCCCTCCCCCTCCAGCTTGGTCCATGGCTTCGGTATGCCCAAGTCTGGCATCGCTTTGGTGCGGATTGTGTGGCAGTCCACTTGCCCCCCTTGGATCTCTTTGATTGAGATGTGTTTTGCATCGGCTGGACTATTATCAATCCAGGCAATGACGAGCAAAAACCACTCTCGAGTCTTGGAGGATCCATCATTCAAGCAAGCAAGCAAGCAAGCGGACAAGACCATCCCAACAGCGCCACAATGATTCCTAGCCAGTACCAAATTGTGGATAGATGCAACCCACCTACGGATTACCGCGTCTGCCCTTGGGACTTCTATCAAATTTTATTTGCTTTTTTCCCTTCCTTTCTATCATTCCTTCTCGTCAGATTCCCAGCGCTTTTTCAGATATAGCTCCCATCTGGCGAGCCGCCCTACCACTCTCCTTTCTTTCCACACAAATCAATCATTATCCGTTTTCGAGTATGGCGGCCCTTTCGATAAATGTTACGTCAAGCAATCCAGCCAGCCAGCCAGGCCCAGCCAGCAGAAGCTCCACTTCTCACCCCCTCCTTGCCCTCCTGCCTATGCATCACCTATTTCCTACTAGATACTATTGCCTGCCCACCTTCTCACCTGCAAGTATCCAAACCCTGATCATCGCACCACTAGGCATGCATCTATTGATGATATCCGTAATCCTTCCAATATCACTTCCCCCTCCTGCCGTCTTTCCCATTCCCTTCAATTTTCTTTTCTTTTTTCCCAGTCTTCACGACATGACATCCAGCCTCGAAACCCCTCGCGAAGACTTCCTACCGCGGACGAAACAAGGAAATGGGGCCACCCACCTACACACACATACAAATGATCGTTAAGACAAATAAAAACCAGCTAAAACAACAACCTAACAACGAAAGCCCATCGCGACATACCAGCCGCCAGTATAGCTGTGCTCTCGTCTCCTCTCCTTTGATCCAAATGCAACGACTCGAACTCGACCTCGAATCATAAACACATCCTTGCAGGTTCCATGAGAAAGCGAGTGTAGGGAAATCATGTCTCGTACAATGCTCTGCTAGCCTGTCCGTTTGTATATGCACGTACGAATGTAGGACTACAGATACATATCTACTTCCATGTACGTCGATGTCGATGCAAGAGCTCATACGGCGGGCACGCAAGAAGCGCACGATACTCATCCTATAGGATCCACAGTGCATAGGCATCACGAATTACTTTAAAAAGTGCGGGAAAGACCCTCGCTATCTCGTCCTCCCCTAACCTCCACCCAAACACACACATTTACAACCTCGAAAGAAGAAAGCAAGAAGGAGATGAGCAAGCACAAAGCACCCAATGACAAATGACACAGACGTTGGATTGACATCCAACATCATGGAGAAGTCTGAATAGATGCATTACTATACCGTTGCTTGTCGTGCTTTGCCCTTAGCAAGTCGATCGGGTGAATGAATGAATATCCATACAAATACACACGCATAATCTGAAATTACATTTACCTACCAGGCATCCTGTCTTCCTGTCTTTCTAGCAATGATTCACATGATTGGTGTACCTCTCAAGATCTTGCAAAGAAGAACATCACTTTCTCCACTGTACACGAAACCGAAAGGAAGCAGATAGTACTCTCATTAACAATTCAACCAAGTAATAGACGCGGCCATTCAGAATGTTTTTGCGCACTTACCTAGGGAAAACTAAATGCGATAACTTTGTTCGATGCGTTCACTTGTACCTGTGCCCAACGCATTGAACGAAGAGACTATGTATGTATTAAAAGAATTCTAGAGGGCGAGGAGTAGAATAACTTAGAAGTGTGATGTAGAGATTCTTCCCATGATACTCTTT